GGTCTAGATACATAGGGCTTATCGTACCTGCTTGCGAACCGTCCTCTTTGTTATCTATCTCTCTCTCTCTCTCTCTCTCTCTCTCTCTCTTTTCTCTACCCTTCTTACTCTTCTTTTCTGGAGCCTCTTCTCTCGGCCTGTGTCTGTCGTTCCTTACTACTGCGCCCTACCCAACCAACGTGCGGCCGGCCCTGATCAGTTGACACCCCCCGGAAAGTGTGAAGGGAAAGGGAAAGGAGAGGAAAAAAGAAAAAGAAAAGAAAAGAGGGAAAACTTAATACAAATAACTAATTCGTCATTATATACCGTTCACGCTTTATTCCAACCCTTCTCCTCTCTTTTTGTTTTTTTTCTACTGCTTGATTGAGGCTTTTATCCGACTACCATTCGCCTGCCGCAGCTACCAACCTACAACCATCTATCCAACCCCCCCTTCATCCACATACTTCTTGTTGCTCACCTCCCGTTTCACCACCAAACCTCCAACATTTAACTCCAGCACTTTATCATTACCCCCCACAAAACAAACCTTCGCATTCGAACGGGAGTACAGTAGAACTTGGCCACAATGGAGGACGATAACAATCATCTCGATTACATCCCACTTGTCTCTTTCAATGGGACCAAACCATTCGGTGGTGATTCGGTCTCTCAGAACCTGAATATTTGGTACGAGGTAAGATCCGACCTGTTTGTTCACATGTAACCTCTTTTTACGGCTACTTGCCTTGCAATTAAATGGTTACATGTTTCTAACCGGTACTGCTAGAGCGGCAATTATGCCTGGGTCATGATCTCGACTGCGCTTGTTCTCCTGATGATCCCCGGTGTCGGATTCTTCTATTCGGGGCTCGCGAGAAGAAAATCGGCCCTTTCTCTCATTTGGTTGTCGATGATGGCAACCGCTGTAGTTAGCTTTCAGGTTCGTTCAAGTTTTTATGCCCGGGCTTTGGTTTGATTTTGGTATGGGAAACGATCTGACTTGGGTTGGGGCTTTAGTGGTTTTTTTGGGGTTACAGTCTGGCCTTCTCGCATACCGGTGGTAAATTTATTGGGAATCTTGACAACTTTGGTTTCAGGGGGCTTCTTGGTCACCCTTCTGTCGCGAGTGACAAAATTCCGGATCTGTTGTTTGCTGTTTATCAGGGAATGTTCTCCGCCATCACGTATGTACTTTTCCCGCCGAGCTGTTGTGTGTGCGTGTTTATTGTGGGAATTTGCTGTTTTCTGATTTGGGGATCGCTTTAGTGTTGCTCTAGCTATTGGTGCCGCTGCGGAGAGAGGACGTATGTTGCCTTGTGTGGTTTTCATGTTTGTATGGGCTACTTTGATTTACGACCCTATCGCATGCTGGACGTGGAATCCTTCGGGATGGTCGGTGAAGATGGGTGGGTTGGATTTTGCCGGTGGAACACCGGTTCATATTTCATCCGGATCCGCTGCCTTGGCCTACTCTTTGATGCTGGGAAAGCGACGAGGCCATGGAACTCACGAATTAAACTACCGCCCGCACAACGTCACTCATATCGTTCTCGGGACAGTTTTCCTGTGGGTTGGATGGTTTGGATTTAACGGGGGATCCGCTCTTGCTGCCAACTTGAGAGCCGTTATGGCTTGCGTTGTCACTAACTTGGCGGCATCTGTTGGAGGAATTACTTGGTGTCTTCTCGATTACCGATTGGAGCAAAAGTGGTCAACTGTGGGATTCTGTTCGGGAGTCATTGCTGGGCTGGTTTCTATTACCCCCGGATCAGGATTTGTGAGTCTTTTTTTTTTTTTTGTTGAAGAGTGTCGTGTGGGTTATGCTGATTATTCACAGGTTCCCCCATGGGCTGCTGTTATTTACGGCGTTGTCGGTGGAGCCGCATGCAACTATGCTACGAAGCTCAAGTTTGTTATTGGTGTCGATGATGCTTTGGATATCTTCGCTGAGCACGGTGTCGGGGGTATTGTCGGAAATATTCTGACGGCCTTCTTCGCGGCGTACGTTTTGAAACTTTTTTTTCTTCCAAAACCTTATCAGGCTGGCGCTAACATATCTCATGCAGTGATTACATTGCAAATCTTGACGGTTCATATCTTGACGATCCCTCCTCGATTCCCAGAGGTTGGGTAAACGGCCATTACGAGCAACTTGGATATCAGGTTGCGGACTCTGTTGCGGGTTTCGTTTACTCTTTCGGGGGCACTTGCATCATCCTCTTTATCATGAATCTTATTCCTGGGCTGAGCCTCCGTGCTACTGAGGAGGCCGAGGTTCTTGGTATTGATGATGCTGAACTTGGGGAATTCGCGGTATGTGTTCCCGCTTCCATCCTGAATGTTTCCAGAACTAATGGATCTATAGTATGACTATGTTGAGCTTACCCGCGAGGTTATCTCTGAGGACGATACTGTACCAAAGATGTCATCGGATAACGGTCCGAGTGTACAACGGCCTAATATCTCTGAGAAGGCCAGATGAAGCCTTGTTGTAACCTCTTTTCGTTTGTCCGTGGCTTCTTTCTTGGGTTTCTTTTTCTTGTTTCTTTCCCGTTGCTTTTGGCGAGCTGTGATTCCTGGACTTCAACTACTCGTACCTGTCAAGGAAAGGGGGGGGGGGGGGGTTGGCACCGAAAGTAGGAATGGGAGTTTAGTCAGTCCCGGTGATCAGCCCTCCCCATATTCCCTATTCCCTAATTACTTGTTTAGGGGGGCTGTTTTGTTCCTTCCGGTAGGGGTGTGATTTGGGTTAATGATGGGCCCCAATACGCTCTTGTTTCTCTCTCTTTTCTCTCTGGGTGCGGTTGTTATGTCTGCTTTTGTTCATATGATTTTTTAAAAAATTTCACAGCTTTTGTTTGGTCAGATATTGGTATTTTTTGGAAAACCAAAGGCTCCTGTTTGGATAGAAGCGGAAGCGAGGTGTCAAGAATTATCGTTCGTTTCTGCTACGACTACTTGTAGTGTCTTACGCTTTTGGGGTTCTTTCCTATTATGTCTATAGTCACTTTTTCCATATTTTCTCCAATTCCCCTTTCTTTTTTACTTTAACTCGCTTGTCAGCTATGATACCAGTAGAGAGCAATAGGAGGCGGTAGTACTTTTGCTTATTCGTTTTTTTTATATTTATTTCTGAAACCTTGCACGAGCGAGGCAGAGATGAGATGTGGAGGGGTAGACGGATGAGATCTTGAGGGCTGTATCGTATGGGCTTTCAGATTCCAAAAGTACCTGGAAATATTGGCAGTTTAGGCCGGGAAACGCCGAGATTCCGGCTTGTTTTGGAATCGGCAAGTACGGTACTCGAGTACTCGTACTTGCTGTATATGTGGGTGGATATTTCTCCCCCCGACATTGGCCAGTGGAATTGGGATGAGTTCCGCCTCGGAGACAGACAGGTGGCCGGCAATGAGGGGATCGATAAACCTGGGGGTGAGATGAAGTGAAGTTGAAGTGAGCTGGGTCCGGGGCGGAGCTTGCCTTGCATGACAAGGGAAGTGCAAGTGAACACTGGTGTGGTACTGTACTCCACTGTACGGGATTGATGGCTATGAAAGCCATTTTGGGGATAATCAATGTTATATTTTTATTTTTATTTTGCTAAGAAGATTAAGTTAACCCTTCTGCTTTCTTTCATCTTGTCATTCTGTCCATGGCCCATTAACTTGATACCTTTGTTCCGAGTGAAAAAACCAAAAATTAGTACACTTTGGTAGAGGGTTTACAATGGTGCTCCGGTATTGGTCACTACAGTTGTGGGTTGAGGTTACAATGGCCAGATAAGTCAGCTAGGCTAGCAAGGCAAAACCAAGCCTTGGCGAAAGTGGACCCTGTACGAGTACTCTACTAGTATGGCAACCCTTGCCTACCGACATGCTGGAGCGGGGGGGAGGGTGGGTGGGGACAGAAAACCGATACTCGAGTAGAGTAATGCTAAAAGAGTAGTCACCGCTCGATGCTGATTGGAGTATCATATGATATCACCGTAACCATCATACTTGTACTCGGAATACCGGTACCCACTCGCACAGAGACCGTTGCCAAGAGGAATACTCGAGTAAATACACGTGGGATCGACATTGCACTTTGACTTATCATTATTGTAAACGGAAGGGAGGAAGGAAGGAAGGAAAGAAGACAGATAGGTACAGTACCGTACAGTACCGTACAGTATTAAAGGGAAAAATTTAAAAAAATATAATATAATAATATTATGATACCACGACAGAAGTGTTCCAAGACCCTTAACGGACTGACCAATAAGATGCTAGCTAGCGTCGGTCTTTCGATGGTATAATTAATTAATTAATTAATGAGTCCTCAAGTTATGTAGCTTATCTCTCACTATTTCATTTCATTTATTTATTTCCTTGTTAGACTTGCTGTGGAGAAAAGAAAAAAAAAGAAAAGAAAAAAAAAGCTCTCGGTCCGTTCACGAGTGTGATGTACCTACCTACCTACCTACCTACCTATCTATCTATATATCTATCGACCACGGTATGATAGTATAATAGAATAGTCTGACGACCCTCCAACTTGCCGAGGGTTCTGGAGTTGTACCATGAGCGAAGGATGGATAAATTATCATCACACCTACCATAAGTGAGGACTGTGGTTGATCTCCGATCCGGAATACTGGAGGTGGTTCATTTTTGATCTGGTTGGGTTCTGATGATTATTTATGTAGCGAGATATTTGAATTCTTTTTTGTATGTATGTATGTATGTATGTATGTATAAGCTTGACTTTTACTTCACCTTTTATCAGTTGTGCATTTGTTAGTTGGATAGAGGGATGGCCGCACCGCGGGGAGAGGTGCTGATGGGGGGTAGCGGGAGCTTGGAATGAGAGACTGAGTACGGGAAGAAAGGCTGTAAATATATGATAATTATTATGATTTTTTTCTTTTCCTGTAGTTTGCACCGTTGCCAGCTCCCATCCTACTATTCTCAGAATGCTTCCTCCCCCCGTGGCCGGTATTTTCTACCGGAAACGCCTCAGGGAGTCGTGAATGATTGGGTAGGTGAAATTAGCTATAGATTATTGGACTGTTTAAACATGAACAGGTAGATTAAAAGTGCACAACAATTTGTAAGCTATCTTCCAATTTTTATTGTTTTTCTCTGTTTGATAGACAGGAAATATAGAGTAGGAATAAACTGAAGTGTGTCGAGTAGTGTGAGAAGTGATGATTAAACTGAACAGAGTGGAAATAGAAGAGAGTTATTTAGACTGATTGGTTCAATTTTAGTCTGACTGGTTTCTCCTATAGCTCTTAAGTTAGGTAACTTGCCATCCTGAAGAAGAGTTCCATCTAGACTGTATTGATGAAGCTTAAGAGTTTGGTAGAAAAAGTATTCTGATATAAGGAGTCTTTTGTAAAGAAACAAAGTCATACTGGTAGCTTTATACTTGTATAGTTCTTCCTAGTATAACTATAAACTTTAAGAAGTATAGAGACAATGTTATGATACCTTAATCTAGTTTCTTTTTAGCATCAAATATGTAAGGAATATGGCTAGACCAAGGTAGTAGAGGACAATGCTTGTATATATTAGGACTATACAATATCATACTAGTACTAGATACTAAGTAGGGGGTACTATTATTCTATGGCCTTTTCAGTTATTAGATCTAAATCTTATTGAAGTCTTATAAGCTGATATGAAGATACAGGTATGACAAATATATGAGTAGGTATTAGATGAGAATACTTTGATTATAATGTTATAGATATCATGGAAAAATATTACCTTAGAAAGGCAATTATAGCTTATTATAAGTATATAGTAAAGACTAAAAGCTATAATAGTAGAAGGAGGCAATACTAGTACACCTATTAGATTGTAAGTATAGTTATTTTCTTCTATAGAGAGCACACACTAAGAGTTTGACAGACTTCTTCCCATTACCAAATTGCAAGAAAATCCACTAATGATCTACACAGGTAACTTGTATACTTATAGTAAATCTAACCAGTGGGAGTAGAGTTTAACAGACTTTTTTTCTAACCCCTAGTACATTTTATATGTATTTCCTATTCTTCAATTCTTCCCCAAAATTCTGGTACAATCACCCCTCCTAGCACTTGTATTAAAATCGGTATCCTCAATCTGTAGAATTTACTTCAGAGACACTCCACTTCGCCAAGCCTGGTGCTGAGCAATACTGGCATGGGCTTGGCGAATTTCAGCAGTTTTTGAGCCGCCACAGCTAATCCTCACCAGCCCAATTTCGTCTAGCCCCGACAAAGACTGGACTCGTCCTGGTTCCCCGAAGCACACCTGGCGCACCTCACCGCTGCCAAGCCTGTAACGCCTTAACCATCCATCTGAGCCGCCCGGATTGAGTTATCCATGATAATGTAACTGACCCTACCACAGTGAACCACACACAACCAGACAACTTTCTCCACAAGGGAGCTGAGCCCCCTCTCCGACCAACGATTGATCAATCACACAGTTGAACTTCCCACACCACAACCACCGCCGCCCTACCTTCACAAACTCGTTTTGTAAGGAAAAAAACAATGGAACCCCCCCTTCCCATGGAAGTAGGCGGAGGTGGAGGATCCTCGTTCCCGACGACTCGCGAGGAGTTCGAGGCTGATCCGCGGGTTTCCTGGTCGAGGCTCACGGGGAGGTGGTCCCTGGAGGCCGACGATGGGACGGAGTTTGAGTATGATGAGGGTATTAAGAGATGGGTTCCTGTGGTTTGTTTCCGCCGCTACCTCGCTGGTTGGATTCCACTAAAAAGGTGGATAGCTCGATGAGACACTCGCGGAGCTGCAAAGAGCTGCATATGCGGTCGCGGGAGTAGACGAGAGTGAGCCTGCGGCGCCGGTGAATAAGAAGAGGAAGAAGGTGTATACTTCTAACGAAGGGAATGAGGTATGGTACCACCTTCAACTTCCCCCTCACCCATCTCCCGTTCTTTATATCCACTGTGAACGGTAGGACCCCATACACTCCAAAAAGTCCAAAAACACCAAAGACTCCTTATCTCCCACCGACCCTACCGTCACCACCACCTCCTCCTCCTCCGCAGCGCCCGCGCGCAAAAACACCGCAGTATACATTACCAACCTACCCCCTGACACAACAGAGGAGGAAGTCAAAGAGGTATTCTCCAAATGCGGCGTAATAGCCGAAGAAATCGACCGCGGGAAGCCCCGCGTCAAGTTATACAGGAACGAGGATGGTAGTGTCAAAGGCGATGCACTAGTAGTCTACTTCCGCCCGGAGAGCGTGAACCTGGCGGTGCAGATGCTGGACGATTCGGATTTCCGATTCGGCGTCAGTGAGGGGGGAAGGATCAAAGTGCAACCTGCAGACTTCAGTTATAAAGCTCATCAGGACGCGCCGGTCAGGAAGAACGCTAGGGATAAGAAGAAGGTCATTGCCAAGACGCAGAAGTTGAACAAGTTTGTTCCCCCTCCGCTTAACTGTCTAGCTCCAGCTAGCTAACATACAGCGAAGCAAACTGGCAGACTGGGATGACGACGACCCTTCCAAAATCCTTGACACAGCCTCCAAATACGACAAAGTCGTGATACTAAGACACATGTTCACGCTCAAGCAATTGGAAGAAGATCCCACCGCAATCCTGGACTTGAAGGAAGACATTCGCGAGGAATGCGAGAAACTCGGGGACGTCACGAACGTTGTTCTATATGATAAGGAAGAAGACGGAATTGTCAGTGTCAGGTTTGCCAACGCGGAGTCCGCCAAGGCTTGTGTTGGGGTATATATATGCTACCCCCCCCTCTCTCTCCCGTTCTCGTGAAACCAGAGTAAGGCTAATGGTAGGGCAGGTAATGCACGGCCGCTTCTTTGACGGGCAAAAGGTCGAAGCCTACATTTTTGATGGGTTAGAGAAGTTCAAGAAGACTAGTGCTAAGAAGACTACAGAGGAGGAGGAGGCAGAGCAGGAAAGGTTGGAAAAGTTTGGGGATTGGCTAGAGGAGAGTGGGGAATAAGTTCTCTCTCTCTCTCTCTTCCATTTTCACGTTATATCAACTTCTCACTTTTTGTGTCCCCCCCCCTTTTTTTTTTCTAATTGTCAGGTTGGAGTTTACGCATAAGTCTAATTGTGTATTATATATATAACTTGTACTCTTTTCCTTATCTTCTTCTCCCCCTCCTTTGCTTTACTTTACTTTACTCTACTATGCTTTTCATTACCATAGCCGATGACATTTCTTATTGCCATTCCTGAGAGAAAGCAAGAACGATAGCTTAATTACTACCCACGCTCGTTCATTCATTTATTCATTCATTCATGACATGATAAGGTAATGCAAACTTGACAAACAAACAACCACACAAATAGACAAACCTCTTGTTTTTTGCTGTTGAACGCCGAGCAAAGTGATAACGATACCATAGACACCATCGAACCGAGGATAACCAACCAATCCACGCCATCACAATTACTGGCCAGTAATCGTGAGATGTGGATGTGAGAAGGGGGAAAAGTGAACTAGAAAGTAGGAGCCTCCGAGTGGCAGTTATGGTAGTGTGATAGCCAGAAAACCGAAGAAAACCGAGCCCAGATAAGATATAACCCCCCCCGATAAGATACGAAAATGAAAAATAAAATAAAAAAAGATCCCCGGGATCAATCGCTATCGCTATCCCCATTATCAAGTGCCTCATCATCTTCTTCCTCCTCTTCGTCCGCTACCACCGCACTTCCACCCTCTATCTCATCCCCATCATCTTCACCCTCGGTCTCTGTAGCATCTCCATCCTCTGCTTCTTCTTCTTCTTCCTCCTCCTCCTCCTCCTCTTCTTCTTCTTCTTCTTCCTCCTCATCGCCTTCCTCCTCCCCCTCCTCCCCCTGTTCCTCCTCCTCCATATCCTCGTCCGCCGTAGCATGTACCTCCACCGGTGGCGGGGCAGCCCCACCCTTTACATTCCCAACACGCATCTTTTTAGCGGCAGGCGGTGAGTCCCGGGCCTCCTCATGGTCTTTGGCTTCAGTGGTAGCGACGGGCCTGTCTTTGTCTTTAGACTTTTTTGTGCTCGCGCGCTTTTCTTCGGCTAGTTGGTTGAATTCTGTTTTATCAATTGCATTAGCCGAGTAGCGAGGGTGGGGAGGGGGGGTTGGTCTGGACTGACTGGCTAACTCTGCCTCTAGTCTCGGCACGAACTCGCCGAATTCCAGTTGCTCCATTGCTTCGAGGACGTCCTTGGGATTGATGGTTTTTCGGCCGCGTTGTTTTGCTTGGTCGTTTGCACTTTCATGATTCCGTTAGGTTCCTGTCAGAGAATGTGGAATGGGGGTGAGGGGGAGGAGGAGGATCATACGCTGCACAGAGGTAGTTAATGAACACCGTTCCACCCTTTGATAACGCCAGGATCGCATCTTTCTGGACGTTAGTGTTTTGTGGGAGGACTCCCTTTGCCAGGCGGGTTACAATTGATTTGGGAAGCGTGTGGTCCTGTAGTACCCCTCTCGTCAATTGCCCGTCTTCCAACTCCTACGCAGTGATAACCAGGTGTTGGTGGGGAAGGAGGAGGGGGAACTTGCGTCGATAGAAATACCATTATCCTTCTCCTTCTCTTTATCTTTCCCGCTGGCAGCAGAACCATTGTTGTTATTATTATTATTGTTCGCCGGAGCATCCTTCTCAGAATGGGCATCTGATTTTCGCGGCATGATGGTTGATGATCGTTGTTGGGTGGAAATTGAATTGGGAGATTAGGAGAGGAATCGAGGTTGAGGAAGTTGGGTTAGCTTAACTCGAGCGAGGATGAATGAATGAATGAACCAACACTGTAGAGGAGGCTCCGCTGATGACACGTCCGCGTTGTCGGTGGTTGCTGGCGGCAAACGCTGTAATTGTAGACAGCCCCACCATTTTGATACTTTCCTGGGAATTAAGGATTGATCTGGGGGGAGTATTGAGATGCCAATTACCGCTTTCGATGATCAACGGTGAGAAATTTTTTCCCTTTCTCGGATGATTACCAGTAACTTAGTGTTGCAATGTTTGAGAGATTGTGCATTAACCACGTTTTTTTTTTTTCAGCCTCACGAGTGATGTAATATGAACCCTGAAGAGCTTTTTGGATGCCCTTAGGGTAACGGCGTTCACCCACCCCTCCGGCATAAAAGCTATGATACCCCTTCCCATCCACTAGATGCTCAAATGCAATCGACTCCTCCCTCAAAATGCCACCCCCAATAACAATCCTCCCATTAGGAACCTCGTCCGCCATCCCAACCCCGACAAGAAACCATTCCTCCCTCGCTCTCATCCTGCCAACCAGCACAACCCTCCTCTTTGACTGCGGCGAGGGCACTCAGCTTCAAATCCAGCGCCTAAAATCCTCTTGCTCCATCAAGCACTCCAAGATCTCAAAAATATTCATAACGCACCTCCACGGCGACCACGTTTTCGGCTTAGTCCCGCTGCTAGCGACGATTCTGAATGGGGCCGGCGGATCGGAAAACGATCCGCGGATGCTGGGCAAGGGGGAGGGAGGGAGGGAGAGGGCGGCGGATGTGGAGATTTATGGTCCGAGGGGGCTGAGGGGGCTTGTTCGACGGACGTTGCAAACAACGTATATGAGATTGGAAGGGGGGTTTGTGGTTCACGAGTTGCTTTTCGCGGGTGAGGTGGGGGATGGGAAGGGCGGGGAGGATGGGGAGTGTTTGGGGGAGGTGGAGAGGGGAAGGGATATACACCCAGGCGAAGATGGATTCTGGAAGGATTTTCTAGAAGTGGATAATTTCCTTGTCTCCGCTGGGGAAATCAAGCATTCGGTTCCATGCATAGGGTATGTTGTGACGGAGCGCCCACTGCCGGGGAAAATACCAGCAGACTACGCTAAGCGTATATCCAAGTTCAAGCCGGAGCTCATTCATGCTGGGAACCCCAACCCAATATCTTTCCTGGCAGATTTGCAGCGCCCCGAAAAGCTTGGGCTTGAGCTTACGCTCTCGCTACCCGACGGGACGGTCCTTACTCGCCCCCCGGTGGTGCGTGGAAGGAAGATTGTTGTGCTTGGTGACACATCCGATCCATCGCTTATTGCCCCGCTGGCGGAGGGTGCGGATGTGCTAGTGCACGAAGCGACAAATGCGCATTTGCCAGGGATAGATCCGAGCACAAAGGAGGTGGATACGTATGAGATTGTTGAGGAGAGGGCGAGGAGTAGGGGGCATTCGACGCCGGATATGGCAGGGAGGTTCGCGAAGAGATTGGGTCTCGGTGGAGATGAAGTCAGGGAGGGGTTACTGGTATTGAACCATTTTAGCAGCCGGTATAAGGACGACGAAGCAGATGGGGCGGATGGCATGGCAATGAGAATTATGGGGGGGATTCGGAAGCGTGCGGAGGATTCTTGGGGGGTCGATGAGGGGAAGAGAAGGGTTATTTGTGCAAGGGATGGAGTAAGGATAGAAGTTCAAGCTTAATTATCCAAGATATGGGTGGTGTATAGTACCCATATTAGTATTTAAGGAGTTGATTCTGCTTGATGGACCGTAGATGCAAGTAGAGTGGGATCACTAATACTCACTCGAGAACCGACCACGGTTCCAGACAATTGTTGCCCACACCGTCGCTACCGCATTCATCAGACAAGACAGGGATAGTCAATGGGGAAACCTCGGTTCCAGTCCGGAAAATTGATTCTTTTTGGGCGGCTCACTTTAGTTTATCCGGCCCAGCTATATGCAGCAACCTTCAATGCACAGCACGTGAGAGATGCACCCTCTCACCCGGTTACAATGCTACCGTATCATATCATGCCATAGCTCTCTCTTATCCTCCTCCTCCATCTTCCTCGCCCCCAACTTCGACTTCACCCTACCTAAGGACGCCTTACCCGTATCATCCGGGTATCATACATAGCTGGGCTCGTCGGCAATAACCCCACTCTCGAATAGGGGACCGTTTCACAAGACCCTTGGCGTGACCCACTGAGACCACTCTCCGCTCCACATCCCCGAACCTCGGCCTGTAGCCAACGCCGCAGCGGCAATAAGTTCCTTCTTGCAGAGATAACTTGGGATCAGCATTTACTCCTCCCCCCTCTCCCACTTGCTCTCACTACGGTACCTTCAGCAAAAAGAACTAAAAAAAACTAAAAAAAACTTTGGAACCCTTCAAAGCCCCACCACCACCAACCAACTTTGCCCGATCTCCGGGGTACGTTATACCAAAACACAAAACACAGCATGGCACTCTGCGGGCCCTCGACTGCCCTCGGCTCTCTACAGAAGCATGTTAGTGCCGACAAAACCTTGCAACAGGACCGTGTACAACGACAGGGCTCTTCTTCTAATGTGCCTTCTCCCCCTTCTGCTCCCCTTAGGAATGAGGTGGTAACAAAAGAACAGATCTTCAGAACCCAATACACGGACCCCCGCGTGGAACACGAATTCTCACAATTCTCGGGCCCGCCTGCAGCAGCAAACTTAGAAATCGCCGCGGCGGCACACCACCACCACCAGCAACAGCGCTTCGGGAACGTAGACGCAAGCTGGGCGAGTGACTTCCAGCGATTACATGTAAGCTCTGGTTTACCTTTACAGCTGCCGCATCACCAGCAGCAATGGGGGGGAGGAGGGGGCTGGCACGAAGAGTTCTTATCACACCCAGCACCAGCAGTGGCACCCGTAGGGGCATATACTACCGCACCGGGACACACGCAATTAGGTCCTCAACAGCAGGCAATGTTCCCGGGCACTGACATCAGCGCCGGGCTTCCGCGTTATACACCTGTTTTTCAAAACTCTCACCACGGTCCTCCCGCCACGGAGGCTGCCACAACAACTACATCCATAGAGGAAGACCTCCTGACAAACGAAGCCTTTGAAAGAGCCTTTGAGTCTGCAAGAGCTCAACTCGCTGAACCGTTAACTACTACCCCCCTTCCCCAAACTGTAGTCGAAGAACCTCCCAATCAAGCGGAGACCAGCCAAGACAAGGACAACGACGACCTGTCCCGCACAGCCGGAAACCTGCTAACCTCTCTGCAAAACAATCAGTCCCAGAAGTTCCGCGAGAGCAATTTCCTGGCGCTGATGAGGCGATTGCGAGACCGGGAGGTGAAGGTTGAAGGGGATGAGTTGGTCGAGGTATGATTTCCGAACTGCCTGCCTATCTACACACAGCGTTTTCACAACATGCCTTTTCTCCGGGAGGGAGTGGATGGGATGGTTTTGGCTTGGAACGAACGGGATGTTGATGTTTTTTTTCTTTTTTTCTTTTCTATTTTTTTTTTTCTCCGGAACATAAGCCTCTGATGATCGTGGAAGAAGAAGTGATGGAGAGCGAGAGTAGGTGTAACATTTGGAGGGGGTGAAAGCCAGGGGGACGGTGGCGGTGGAGGACATGATGAGGTGGGGGATAGGGAGGGCTCCTGGAGCACTCTTGGTGAGATTTGTAGTGTTCTTTGTGTGAAGTAGAAGCCGGGGAGCAATGTGAAATTAGGGGATGCTTGGAAAAAGTGAGCATATGATTACCATTTTTGCCATTGGGTAACTTGGTACCTAGTGTTTCTATCTTTCACTTTTTTACTTTATAATATCTATATCTTCCACCCAGTTGTGCCCCCTACACGGCTTTTGCTACAAATCAACTACCGGTAAGTGCTTTGTCCACCGTGCGCACCACACCACTACAGCAATCTTTCAAGCAGAGAGCTCAGCAAGGGAGCCCCTGTCAAAAGAAAGTGATGGCCAGCTCGTGAATACATCCACCACCCACCAGAACCCTGTTTGAATCCGGTGAAATAAAAAGCCCCCACTGCCAGAAATGACAACTCTCACCCCCGAGTCCCCTTTCTATACCGAGACCCTCCGCTCTGTAGGCTAGACTACTGTGGACCATTTGGTATCCCGATTCACTCACAAACGATCACTCGAATATTCCTGACTGCTGACACCTATCTACCCACCAACTTAGTTACCATAATTCATCGTGATGGTGCAGGATTTTTGTCGCCTCGCGTTTTTGTTTTTATTTTTTCACTACAAAAAATAAATTCCGCCGACTCTCCTTGCCTTTGTGAGTTTCCTTCCAGCCTTCCAGCCTTCCATCCTCCCATGTCAAATCGGTCGACCAACCCACTACCTTAACTTGGGTATAATCAGAACACCAGCACCAAAAAAAGAAAAGAAAAGAAAAAATTCGAAAGAAAAGCCCGCACATGTCTTAATGTCATGAAAGTAGAAAAGGAGGGTAAAAAAAGACAAATCCCATCACCAAATAGACACGAAAAAAAAAATAGGATATATAAGGAAACTTTTCTCCCTCTCGAAAGATAATGTAAAAGAGAAAGGGGGAAAAAAAGGGAAAAAAAACACAAGAATAGAACTCCACAAAACCCCTTCGTTCCCACCCTCTTACACTAGACTAAGCTGAACCAAGCTGCAGTACCCCGACTCTGTGTCAAGCCGTACTCTCCGCAAAATACTCTCCAAAGCTCCCTGGCGGCATACTCCCTATCCCCGCATCATCAAATCCGGGGTCCAAATCCAGCATTTCCCAGTTCATGTCCTTAACCAACGGATACCCGCCCCCACCCCCCGCCCCTGCTCCGCCACCCATATCAACCGCGATATCCTCGAAAGGCAACGGTGAATACCCGCCTGACGATGGGCCTCCTCCACTATGGGGTCCGCTCCCAGAAGCGTGCGAATGGTCACTATGATTAATGGAAGCCGGCGACTGTCCGTTGTCCGAGGAATTGCTATAGCTGTGCGTGACATACTCCGGCTGCACCCCGGCTTCTTTGGCCGAGGCTTCCACGTAAGCGCGGACCTCGGATGTCATGCAGGGGCAGATTGGAGGCAGAATGCCTCCGAGGTAATTCGGCAGGTCGCGGGTAGGGGGTGTGGTTTTTGCGCGGCGCTCGAGGACGGCACGGATCTCGTGCGGCATGGTGGGGCATGAGGAGTGGATGCTTGCCAGGTCGCTATCTAGGGTATCGGTGTCTGGGCGGAGGTATGAGGGGGGGTCGTCGAGGAGGGAGGAGGATTGGGAGTGTTGGGATAGGGGTTGGGATTGGGATCGGTGGCTTGGGGATGTGGCGCTGGTGCTGCTGCGGGGCTTATCCGCGGGGAGGGCTTCCGCCGTGTTTGGGCAGTAGAATCCAGAACTCCGGCCCACGTAGAGTTCAGCCTGTAGTTGCAATTCAGATTAGCCAAACCCTGTTCACAAGGGGAGAGGGCTCCTTGGGATAGGTATGGGAAACCATACTTGTCCTTTCTTGAGGCCATAGGGAAATTTGGAGTTATTCACCGGTGTGTCAAGGCTTCCGGTTAAGTCGACATCCAGTTGGACCAGAAACGACTCTGTCAGTGGGTTTTTCTTCTTCAAGTGACCCATGGCCGTGAGCAAGAACTGCAGGGACGACCGGACCTGCTCATCGGAGGGTCTGGACTTGAGGTATTGGACGAACACTCGGGCCGCAACATACAGGCAGAAGGAAATGAACGGATTCATCTAACGCTCCATCGCGGTAAGCAAGCGAATTCGACGGCTCGCCGGGGAAAGGGATAGGGAGAGAAGGAGAGCTTACCCCTGACAAGTCAAGATGGCAAACCATCCTCATGATGGACGCAATCTCCGCCGCAGCGGTAATGCACCTTATCTTTGACTCCGCCGACACGGTCGCCGGCATCCGGTTCTTATCAGCTTTGAAAATGGCCGCCTGGTGCAAGCAAATGGTCGAGGTGTGAATATTCATGTTTGTAAACACGATATTGGGATCCGCGATACCGCCCGGCAATCGGAAATGCGGGGGAAGGGACAGGGCAATGTTGAGTAGTATATTGTCCATGTGCCGATGGCGTCTCCAGAATTCCCCATTGAGATCATCATCCCTATCGTCCCCATCGGGCCGATGCAAGTGAATAAGGTTCCGCCCAAAGAGGCAAGCCATCAGGCAGACGCCGCCAAATGGTGATAAAAGTGAAGCCCCCTCAGCAGTCATGGCTTCTTTCAGCGATAAGCCCCTGGATGGCCGTCCCTGGTCAAAGGCATCATCGGCAGCCGGGAGATTTGTCAATATCTAGGCGCGAATTAGTACATGGGTGCCGCTGCATCGGGAAAAAGTGAGCCAAGGGGTGGGGGGTTAATGGCTCAAACGTTAGTAATCGAAAAACTCACATCCTTCTCCTCGACTGTCATCGGCCATCCAGTGCCAATGGAAGCGTATCTGTCAATGCAGAAAGCTATCCAAAAAGTCCGCCGACGCTCTTCCCTCTCGGTCCAATCCTTGGGCGCTGGCAGGCACTGTTTCACGTCCAGTCCCACCCCGTCCAGCCTGTGCATCCCCATCATCTGCGCCAACCGTACAGCCCTCCCGGTCGATAGCCAAGCACGCGGAAAGTACATGAGCTTAAACTCATAGCAAGCGATCAAACTCCACGTCTGAGAGGCAGCAACCGAGATGATACTCTCTCCGTGCCCCTTCAACTCGCAATCCTCGATGTACTTCCTCGCATGTCGGTAGAAATGTGTCTGAAGGTTGGAGTACTCTTCCGAAACCGACGCAGCCATTGTCCATATAGCATAACGCAGCGCAATTGGGGGTCTCGCATTCGGAGCCAGATCCAAAGCCGCCAGGTACCGCCCCTTGTGAAGCACTGGCAAACAGGGGTGAATCTTTTCAAAATACGTTCGATGTCTTGACACATTCACGGGAAATCAGTCTCTCTCTCCGCATACGGATGGATCCACACCCACGGACAGCGTTAGGTAAGATATAGGTCAATACATACAAAGAGTCTATGATATCGGGAGCAGGAAGCGCTTCTTCTAGTCCCATGGCCATCATATCCCAATTTAGCGGAGCAGTATGGGGCGTATCTCCCATCATTGGCGGCATCCCCATCTCCATCTGCAATAGGCCATGTGGCCCCGAGGCGAACGGGCTCTCGCCCCGACCCGGGGATCCTCCGAGCGTGAACCTTTCCCCCAAGCCTATACCCCCGTCGTCCTTGTTCGCGAGATAGGGCGAGGGGTCACCGGTGGAGTAGATTGGCGGGTCCACGAGCTGCGTGGTGGCAAAGCTTACGCCCCCGCCCAGTGATTGTTGGGCATCCGCTGCGGGTCCCTGGTCCTTAAGCATGGTCTCGACCTGAGCTATAAATCATCCCGAAACACAAACACACATCAGCCTTCATTTTGGGGGTGGGCATTATCTTTTGTTTCTTGTTTCCTTCCAAAGAGGTAAAAAGCTAGGGATCAAACGAACCGAGTCGTGCCTCCAACGCCTTGACGTACCCCCGTTTCGGTCCGCTCTTCCGTCGTATCTCATCGTAAGCACTACCCGAACCCGGCCAAAAGTTAGCTTTGTGCCGAGCGTTTTTTTCCCCGCAACCCAACTCTAACCCCCCATCATTCATCCTCCCCTATCCGCCCTTCCAAACCTCCCCAAATCGTGTCCCGGATCTGGGATGGGTTGAAAGGGGTGATGGGGTGGAGGCATTCGGTCTCAAACAAAATGGAAGGTGTATTCCCAACCAGTCATGTCCCAATCTCGCACATGTCCCACAACTGGGCTTGCTCCCGTCACACCGTAGCTTTCTCTTCCGACACACGATACAGGCTATCCTCTTCGGCCGGGGCACCTCAGGATCGGCAGATGTTGAAGCGGCAGCTGCCGCGCGGGGAACGGTTTTAGACATTTGCGAAGCAACGGAAATCTTATGAATTCCGCCGAACCGACCGGATGTGGGGTAGGAAAAAGAAGCTCTCTTTCTATCCTCTTTCCCCTTCTCTCTCTCTCTCTCTCTCTCCTTGTTCTTTACCCCGTTCTTCTCGTTTGTCTGATATTTCACGCACGAGGGGGATCGGAAGAGAAGTAGGAGGAGAGGGATGGAAATAAAAACAGGGCGTCGGTTGCTTGGTTGGAACCGGTTTCTAGTAGCAGCTAGACAGGTATGCGAAAAGTGCCAGCTGAATGGTGGTCGAGAGACTGGGGAACAATGGTGATCTTGGCTGGCTGGCCAGTCTCTGGTAGAGCCAGATAGATATTCTATCGTGTGGAAGGGGTCGTATGCTGTTAAATGTGCTGGGGGAAGGGGGGGAGGAGGAGGGAACGGTTGCTCTACCAAACTAGGTAGGAAGGCTAGGGCGGTAACAGTTTCTTTCCTTTTTCCCTTTTCTTTTTTACCCGAGAAAAGTACGAGTTTTGTACGATGATACGGTTGGGTTTGATTGATATGACGCGATGCCGTATTGGTTAGTCTAGGTTGAGGTTCGAGGGAAGAGGAGATAAAAAAGAAAGTCCGTATATTTTGGGGGGGGGGATAAAAATAAAATAAAAAATGAAGGATATGTATGATATGTATGATATGTGTGTTGGAGAAATGGCAAGTCAAGTGCAAGGTTGGAGAATCGAAAGGAGAGAACGAGGGGGAGAGAGGCTCAAAGGGTTTATGGGATTAATTCCTCGCCTAAACTCCGGACGCGAAGGAGGAGGGAGGGAGGGAGGAGGGTTGATGGTTATACTGTACGGTAGTTAGAGTTGTAGCGGATGGAGTGGGGGAGGGAGGGATGCTTTTTGCTCGAAGAGCAAAAAAGAAATGGGAAAAAGGAAAAAGAGGAGGAGGAGGAAGGGGAGCAAGCAGATGGGGAATACCGGTAAGAAAAATAATACGGTATGATATTTGATAGAAAGGTAAGCAGAAGCGGGTATCCCTTCGAATGCGGAAAAACTGTAGAACCGTAGAACCCTTGAAGGGACGTCCCCCCCCCCACAGACGAATGGATCAAGGGAAGAAAAAAGGAAATCCGTGAATTGCTCGCCGTCTGCTTCCTGCAGCGTTAGCTTTTTGAGTCACTGATACTGTCAAAGTACTGATACGGGTATGATACAGTGGGCTACGATAGTACCGGTGGTCTGCTCGAGTAACCGTACTCTATCCACTGTAGAGTCTAGAAGGGTGAACAGTAAGCAACCGCCCTATCGATCGTGCCTGGGATCTGACCACAATTCTCGAGCGCGGTGGCAAAAAATTGGATAGAAGTATGATACTCGCCTTTCCTTTCGTCTTAGCTTCAGCCCACCGTCAGTCCAAAAGTAAAACTTCACCCAATTCCACTTTCAGGTTAAAAGTTGATTGTCCCCTGTTTTCCTTTTTCCTTCCACTTTCTTTCTTTCTTTCTTTCTTTCTTTCTTTTCTTTTCTTTTTTTTGCTTTTGCTTTTGCTGTTCGCCGCTTTGTAATCCATTTTTCCGTCTCTCACCGCGGAGGGTTTGCATGGCAGCGAGGAGGAGGAGAGGAGAGTGTGACAGCAGCCTGTGGAGGTCCGATGTTCGGTTTGTGCAACCTTGTGCTTCTTGCAAGGCTGCCACCAGTCGAGATATCACAGGCTAACCCGTAACCCACTGTTTGAACTGCGGGCCAAGCGAAGCTGGGCCGGCCGGTAGGGTTGGGCACTCGAGTAGGGGTGCAATGTGCGGGGGGGTTCAGTGGGCTGCTACCCTATATCGTGCATCCTATAGGATCCAAGTGCCTATTACCAGCAGGAAGACGGATCAGGAGAGGCAGAGTGCCTGTGTCTTAGGTTCCAAAGACTAAATAATCGAGAGCAGAGGGTAACCCAGGGAGCGGAACTCCGAGAAGCCGGGAATGAGAGAGAGAGTGTGTGTGTGTGTGCTGTGCAACCGCCGGGGATCCCGGGAACGGGCGTGGAAGCTATTATAGGAAATGATGGGTGTGAGAAGCCATGGAACAAGCAAAGGAAGCATCAGAAGGATGATTGAAACAGCCACTGCACTGTACGAGTACTAGTGCAGACTCTGCGCATCTCTGGGTCGTTCCCATTTCTACCGTACGGTACCGGTACTCGAGTACGGTACTCGAGTACTGTGTGCGGTGCTACAGATAGTTCTGTGCGAGCACAGTACAGTACTCGTGCAGCCAGCCCTCGTCCCAAGATCCGCCAGGGGCGAGGAGAAAGAGGGAAGAAGAAAAGAAAAGAAAAAAAGAATGGGAAACTACCGGCGCATCGCAGCATCATGGGAACCTCCCGTACCGGTGATCGGTCCTACATGGACCACCATGGCTCGTTTCAACAAGCTACCCGCACCTTCGGATCCCGAAAACCAATTGGTCGAGAGGCGAAGCCCGTACCACCATTTCCCTCAGAACTGCTATCAAACCGTGATGATGGTGGTGGTACATGTGCATAACAGGCTACCCGCTGTGGATGCTTGGACGATCATATCACGCTATAACCGTACTGTATGCATCTAGAGCTGACCTAATCTGCTAATATTGGCTCTTTGTCTCGACCCCCAATGCAATCACACAGCACCGGCCGAAGTACCGTACGGTATATCATACCACTCCAGCGTTCAACAGGTACCGGTACTCGAGTACAGCACGAGGCTCGATGATATTACCATCATTAAACTCTCCCATCCGTAGCCCAGCACTCGTGCAATACCGGCAACCCAGTTTCAGGAGCCAATTCCATGATACCCGCCATCAAGAGAAACTGCCGGTGCCGGTACCGGTATTCATCAGCGAGAGACAAGACACCGCCAGATCTCCCCCCAACCCACTCCACCATCCAAGTCTTTTTTCTCCCTCCAAATACCGATCCCCCAGCGTACCAGCCTTGGCGCGTCCCAGCCCTCCGTAGATTGCCCTCCCTTCCTACAAGTACGATACGATACAAGTACCAGCACACCGGTATCGTAGCCACCACCACCACCCACAGATTTCTAAACAACTTAACCGCCATGCTCGGGTAAACCACTTATGCACCCAGGGGAGAGGGTAAACACAGCTGGACGTATGGTAGAATCTCAGATACTCGAGTCGTGTCCTGGGTGCCATGTCGTTCTAGATCCACTGCCGGTATTCCTCACCCCTCCCCCCCTTTTTTTTCTATTCTATGATACCTCTTCTGGAGAAGGAAATTCCGGACTACCCACCCAGCACACAGGGTCAACAATTTGATATTCCATGCCATGATGGACACCAAACCCACCAATCAGAAGATCCAGCCCTACACTACTGTGCTAGCTAGCACTGTGTCTCGCACTGGAGCATCACACACACGCAATGATACTGTACTCGCACAGTACTTGTGCTAGTGGGTATCATACAAGCAAAAAAAAAAAAACGTGGCAGCCTCAAACCTTCCAGAACCCCCCGTACAAGAGAGCCCGATACAGCTATTATTGCCACCCCACAACAAACACCAATGCTGTACCGATACCAATACCGCACAAGCACATTTAACAACTCGGCTGATGAACAAAACCGGAAGGAGCGATTGGCGAGGGGGGCAGAGATTCGCTTCTTCCTCTTCGCTGTCGATGACGTGAGCTGGCGGGGGGTAATCGCGCCGAGATTCTTTTAAATTAGGTGGAAGGAGGAGGAGGAGGGAGGGGGGGGGGAAGTTGTTCAGCTTTGGGGATCTTTTTTCTCTTGAATCGATTTACTTGCTTGATCTGCAAGATATTCCAACTGCCGCTGCTCCCTTCTTTTTATTTTATCCGCTGGAATGGGCTTCTAGCTAAAGCTTAACGATAATTATAGTTATCGCGGTTTGATGGTCATAATCTTATTATGATGCACAGTACCGACCGGTGAATCGATTACCAATGCATCCGCGAATAACTTTTTACTGTCCAACGACGGGTAAGTTGAGTGAGTGCCAATGGGTGGTGGGGAGGTGTCTCAGCGTTTAAGCTTTCTTTAGAGCCGCTGGAGGTCTATAATACCATGATTTAACCGTTTGATATGGATAATAATGATAATAATAATCTTGATTAGAGTGCTATTGTAATACCGGTACAGTAGGTTTTCACTCCCACCACAGCTGTGAATCCTTCCCTTTCCCCCCAACCAACCAACCAACCAACAGAGAGAACTGGGTTCTGAATATCGTACGTACAAGCATCTTGCGATATCTATAGTACTATGGTGTACTTGCACAGCTAGTCTTAGCTAGCAAGCTAGCCAGCCAGCAAACAAAACACCTCCCAAGCGCAGTACTAAACTGAACCGTACTGTGCCCTACCAGGATGTCTACCACGCCACCCATCGATATACTACAGTAGATATATATATAAAGAGAGAGACGCCCGTAAGAACGGATAGATGAAAGGATGAAAGGAAATATCAATAAATAAATGAACAAGCAAGGCTGACTCCACCCACCCATCCACCCTCTCCACCTTATGATAAGAGTATATAGTACAGTACAGCACTGTACAGCAACGGTACCGTGCATTCACCGCGATATCCCCATCCTCTTCTTCATCTTCATCGTACCCGTGCCATCCATTACAATAACTGTAGTACATAAATAAACTATTACTACTAGTAGTGGTGGTGGTGGTGGTGGTGGTGGTGGTGGTGGTGGTAGCAGTACGATACTAGGTGTATTCAGAATTACCTCCAAAACTCACATACCACATAATCCTACATACAAAAAATAAAATAAAATAAAAATGCAATAATAATACTTGCCAGCATATATATATATACAGCATCGTGCCAAAAAAAGAAAAGAAAAAAAAAGCCTTACTCCGAAACCCCCGAACCCCGGCCCTCAAAAAACACTCTTCACAATAATAATAATAATAATAATTATTATCATCATAATTATCACATCGTACGGTACTTTACTCTGTCAATATCTACAATAAATAACTACAGAGAACCAAAAATATATACACATACCGATATAATAATAAAAAGGAACCGCAAAGCTCCCCTATCCAGTGGCAAAAAAAAAAAAAAAAAAAAGACATAGAATATCGAGAGAATTTTTTTAGGTTTTCAGCTCCCCTGAAGAAGTCAAGTTACATATAATATGATACAACAAACATGATAAAAAAGAAAGGAAAAAAAGAAAAAGAAAGAGTATGTAGGAAGTATAACGATAAGGCCTTAGGCAAAACGGAACAATTCTCAAAGAAAAAGAAAAAAAATAAGATACGGCGACTATTGTTGAAAGGGGGTGCGGGTCTGTACTGCTATAATGCTTGATGTGCATGCTATGCTATGCTATGCTATGCTATGCTAGGGTAGAATGCCGATGAAGGGTACAGTACGTGTATGATAGGTACTGGTGGCAAAACTTTACTATTGTACTTGCACTCGTGCAATGCTGAATGATGGATGGCATGGATGGGTGGATGGGTGGGTGGGTGGTTCAGCTGAGCACTGTACAATATGTGGTTTTGATGCGGTACCGTTTTCTAATGCGACTGGTGGGAGAAGAGGATTGGAGGGAGTGTGTGTGGTGGTTTCGTGGTTGGTTTGATGTCTGGATATCATAGATGAGACAAGTGGATGCGCTTTACTGCGAGGGTCGGGAGGAAGGGGGGGGGGGGGGGTGGAAAACGTGGGGGAGGAGGATTAAAGTATGCGTGCGTGATATGATACCGGCATGTCATTCAGATATTATACTTGTACTTACAATACACCACCACTTGGCTATAATACTATAATATCATAATATCGGAGCGTGCTAGCGCCGGACCATAGGTCTGGAATATGTTGTTTCCTTCTCTCTTCTTTTTTTGCTTTGTTTAGGCTTGTATTTATATACACAGATTTTTATAATGCACATCCTCTACCATGCGGGACATGCCACGGTGCCTGGGCTTGCCAAACCCTACTCGAGCGCCACATTTGAACGGGTGAACAGGAACAAAAGAAAAAAGGAGAAGAAAAAAAAAGAAAAAAGAGAGGAACCCGTCCAACAATCACCCATAATAGCTTACCGCAACGGCAATCCTAATTCTTGTTCTTCCTCTTCCCGTGATTCCTCGCCCTTGGAGTGACAACATACTTGTTCGGCTTACCACGAGGGCCTGGACCCGCCACCGCGAATCATTAGCCAAACCACGCTTCCAAAATGAAATAGAGTAAAATAAACTTGGAAAGAAAAAAAAGGGGGGGGGGAAGTCGTACGAGTCTTGTACCCCGCCTTGGTCTAATTCCCCCGGCGAAACCGCCAGCCGTTAGCACACACACTATGCTCAGTAATCGGGATATATATAAAGGTAGAGCAGTCTGAGCTGAGACTCCACGTTTCACCCTCAAATCACGTAATAAACAGGAACGAATGAACGGTGGGATAGAAGGAGCAGCGGTAGGGACAAACATACTGGGATACCCCAAGGACTGACGGGGGCTTTATCTCCTTGGCTTTTACCACGGCCTCCTCCGTGGGGATGGTCGCCTGGGCGGGTGGTATAGCGGTTAGTACGTGTATACCGGTATTAGGGAAAGGGCTCTTTTGGTAGGGAGAGAGAGCCCAATTGGCAGGTATGGGGGTAATAAGATTTGGGTATATTGGTGGGTCGTTGCCCTTTCTCAACCTTGCACGGTTTCTCCCGAGGGCATGACCGCCGGGGTCCGTGTGTTCCCACGCATATCCTCTTGCGACGGATTGGGTAACGGGGGTGGGTGGGTTCCCGGGGAACTGGGTAAGGGAGATGGGGAGAGGAGTGGGGGGTTAGGAGAGAATATGGCAGGTGTTTACTCAATCGAGCAAGTATACTGTGCCGGTTGGCGCGCGGGGGAAGGCACTGGTATCACCACATCGCACCGGATACCCTCCCCCTTCCACGCCGTTACTACCACCGAGAGGGAGAACACAAACAATGCATTTCAATAAGATGAACAAGGAAATAGAAACGGGAGGCTCACAAGCATTCATCGCAACGCCCCTAACTGTTGGCCGGATCCCCAAATTCCTACTCCTCCCAGCCTTTCCCAACTGCCTGTGCTGCCAAGTCGTATTGCTTGCAACTCCCATCGTTGCCGCCGCAAACTTCGAAACTCTCCGTACCTCCCCGCTCTGCATCTTGACAATAACACTCTTCGTAGCGGGTTCCCTGGCCACAACGGTAGCGTAGGTCCCCGCAGCCCGACAAAACACCGCTCCACCCTTCTCCTTCGACCCAACCCCGAACACGACAGACCCAATCGGGATCATATGCATAGGTAAGCAATTCCCCTTCGTCGTGGTCCTGGCAGCCAACATGCCCGGATCGATACGCCCGCCCATAGCCGCCATAAGATCATCGGGGATACCATCCCGATACGACTGCACTGTATCCCCAGCGCGCAGGCCGTCGGCCGCGAGAATGTAACTCTTCCGGCCGGTGGTATTATTGGTGACTAGCGCTATGTGAGCACTCCTCCCCGGATCACGCTCGATCCGGTCAATCGTATGTGGGCCCGGGGAAATTCTGTGGAAGTCCACCGTGCGGATCCTTCGCTTGTGCCCACCACCTCTGTGTCGGCATGTTATCCTCCCCGTGTGGTTACGCCCTCCAGTGCCCTTCTTTGTGAAGGTTAATGGCCTGAAGGGGCCCTTTTTCCAGAGGTGGTCCTCTATTGGACGCTTGAGGTGACGGAGACCAGGTGTGCGGGGCTTGTATGTGCGCATTCTCAGGTTGCGCGAGGAGCCAGTTGTTGCACGAGAACCACGACGCCGGCTGTCATCTTTGATACGCGCTGTGAAGGTATTGACGAAGGACATGTTTGGGGCTTTCGGGTTTGCGGCTGGCGGTGGTGTTGAAGCTGGGGGTTTGGGGGTGGTAGACACTAGTCGTGCGAGGGCCTGTAATTGGTGAAGTCTGCCATCGATTAATTGGTTGGGGGGAATTGGCCGCCGGAGGAGAGTCCGGGACAGAAGTGGCTGGAACATCATTGTTGCTGACCTCTCGTCAGGTGGACGACGACGGGAGAGGTTGTTGTCGTTGGTGGAAGGTAGAAAGTAGAAAGTGGGATGTTTAAACTTTGAAGTCACATGGGGAGAGGAACCTAGACCACTGCACCGGCTGCTAACGGCACTATACAAGCATTAGCAAGGTGCGCCCTGAAGACAAGAAACTCGGGATTGATTAATTTTATTGACTACCGTAGCTTTTCATCTCGATTTGTCCGGGCCCAATAAAACCTGCCCTTTAGCTCAGTTCCGTAACTGTATGCGTAGAAACACAAGACTACTATGATAAGTTACCTTCTTTGCAATCTCCATGCTGTGAGATTACCCGGCTGGCACACTTGTGGCTCAACATCCCACTATCCCCCCCCCCCAGGGTCTGGCTCTCACCCAACCTCACACCAACTCACCTCACCGTTCTTTCATTGAACAAGATACGAATGTCGAGATCCGCATGCCGGTTCCAACCAAGCTTCCGGCTCACAGAATAGCCTGTAAGTCAATTCCGTCAGTTCAACCTCATTCCTATCAGAGAAAGGGATTTAACAAAGAAAGGAAACTGCTAGGCCTCGCGCTATACCGGGCCTTCCTCTCCCGTATCCCCCGCCTCCCCCTCGAGCCCGCCCAAACCCAATTCGCAGAATGGCACACCCGCAATGAGTTCAAGCGGAACCAGAATGTACAGATAATAAAGCGCGTCCGCAATGCCCTCTCCTATGCCCGCGAAGTACTCATTCCTTCCCCCCTCCTTCCCCCTAGCCCCCGAAGAAATAAAATAAAATAAAAGAATTGACCAGCCAACCCCAGCCAGAGCGAATCACTAATGCGTGCCGCCGCGACTGGCGACCCCGAGAGCATCACTAAACTCTCGGAAGAAATCACCAAGCTGCAAAAAAAGCGCGATGAAGACCTCTTTGTGGCCACCCTGTCCCCGCCTCCCCCAAAACCGCCCCCACCCCCAACCACCATGCCGACGCGCAAGAGGAAGCTGAGGCTTCTGGACCCAAATTACAAGCCCCCGCCTCGCTCTTCGATCCCGCGGCTGCCGCAGTTGATAGAGAGTAACATGTTCCCCATCCTCCGTTGGCCGGGCCAGAAGACGCCCCTACACATATCCATGATTATAAAGAGTAAGACAGTCAAGAAGCAGAGAAGGGTTGATCTCGTAGAATTGTTGGAAGTCTGGATCGTGCTTGCGCAGGAGGAAGATATTTTCGATAACATCATCGCGAAGGAAACGGGTGTTAGGGAGGAAGGTGGGACTTGGGAAAATGGGGTTAGATCTACGTGGAGGGACGTGAAAGATTTGATGAGGAAGGAGGAGCTAAGGGGAGTGGAGATGACGAAGCGTTTTATGAAGACTATTGAACAGAAGAAGAAGATTCGGGAAAGCATGATCCTAGAGAGAGATAGGGAGAGGCGGGAGAAGTACCAACTAAGGAGGGCTGAGAGAAAGAAGCGAGAAAGAGAGGAAGCAGACTTGCTGGCGGAGAGGGAGGCAGCTCTTGAGGGGCCGGGGAGAATCTCGGCGGGAGAACGGGATGAGGGTTCTGATGTTCCTTTTGTGCACTACCCCTCATGCGAGGAGCCAGCCTTTGTGTGCGATGGGAATGAGCAGAGCGGTCTGGAGCGCGAGCACGAGGAGCAGCAGAGCGAGTATGAGGAGCCGGAACATGGCGACCCAGAACACGAGTACGAAGAGTACGGGTACGACGACCTAGACCAAGAGTACGGCGATCTAGACCAAGAGTTCGAAGAGCCAGGATACTCCTCCGACTCAGACCTCGACAACGCCAACCCAGACCAGCACCCAACACCAAACCTGACACCGGACTCCTCAATACCCCCAGCATCGGAACCAACCTCCACCTCCGAAGACAAACCATAAACTCCATCCATCCCCGCCCCCTCGAAGGCAAAGAGGAACCCTGTAACTATTACCATTCCCCTACATAACTCACCCACATTTAAATACTTGCTCTTTCATACTTTCACCCACGTTCCCGCTTTTGTCTTTATTTCCTGTTCTTTTATAATAAGCTTTGTACAATGACAAATCCCAAGCCGCAACTCCATAGAACCCAATATCCCATTTCCCATTTCCCATTCCCGCCAAATAGAATGAAATGAAATGAAATAAAAACAGACAAGACCTACTAACGGAAAATTGGCGACGTTGATGGTGATGGTGATGATGACGATGGTGATGATGGATGGTAAAAAAGAAAGGAGGAAAAGCATAAACAGGTGAATAAGAAAGAGGAAGTAGTCCACCGAAAAAGAAAAAAAAATGATATGATATGGGATGGAATATAATGTAGCGTAGTGAATTCACAGGGTTTGAGGTACCGTACCGGTGGTGTAAGATGAGTTATGATATCCCCCACTGCCGCCATCGCCGTCGCCCTTGCCCTAGGAGAGGGGCGGGGAAGGAGGGAAAAGAAAGAAAAAAAAGGTATCAAGTATCAAAAACTTTGCCAAGGACTGTGGTTTACACCAGAAAAATGAAAAAAAGTGAATGAAAAAAAGGATGAAAAAAACAATACGCCATCTACCGCCGATGATGATGCGGCCGAGCTTTCCGTGAAATCTGAAAAATGTCATCATTATCATCCTGCCCTTCGTACCGCTCATGCCCAACAGCCAGTAACTTGACCGTGTTTCCAAAGCCTACAGCAACGGATCTCTGACCCACCCGACACACGGGGCCGGCCCTGCTGACGAGCAGAGACTCATCCGATTCCTCGGCTGCGCTGTCGCTGAGCGGGTAAGAGGTCACAACGCCATCAGCATGCATAGTCCAGGCTTCCCATTCGTCGTCGTCCTCGGTACTGTGCTTCTTGCCCATTTTCTTTCGTCGTCGGAGGCTCGAGGCTTGGTGCGGGGAGAGAGGTTCGCAGTCATCTGAGCTCGACTCCTCCTGTATGGCTTCCCGGCGTCGGATGCCCGCTACCAGATTCAGGTTTGTTGGTTCCCAGGCTTCCACGTTTTCCAGCCAGTGGGTGCTTTCCACTGCGCTCTCGAATCCGGAGCACTTGCGTTCCCTTCGATCGCGCTCCGCCCGCAGGCAGATATCTCTCATCCGGCCGCGGGAGGAGAACCATGTGTGCATAATGAACATGCCAGATTCTCGTTCGCTGTATGCAATAGAGAAGGATAGGACCGCAGGGCAACCGCAGTATAGACAAGTCCGGCGGTTGGCGTGGAACACCCGTAACGAATTGGGCCTGAACTGGCCCGTTTGGAACGTTCGTATCACACTGCCTGTTATGTGTTAGGCACTCCAAGTATCCAAAACTGAGCCCGACAGAAAACCCACCTGATAACAAATCTACCAGGTCAACGTTGCATGACCTTGAAGTCACAATCATCCCTAAAGATGAAAGTGGCAAGATTGTGCAGTTCTCACTCGGATCCGGTATTGGGGGAATCACCGGTTGCTCCAATAGACTGAGCTGGCCGGAATTCCACTCACCAGTCGACTTCGAGGTCACAAAGATCTTTCCCCTCTGACAGGCAGTAACTACCCTTAATGGCAGCCTAGGGGTAAACCCCCCATGTGAACATGAAACAACAACACCAGTGCAAACCCTGTGGTGCACACTATTCCCCGTCCCGATGCAGACCTCCGAAAGCCAACCGTCATGCCTCAAAACTATTAATCGTGGACCGTCACCATGATTTCGAGGCTCAAAAAAGAACGCGCTCGGCTGGTGACCACCCAGCTCTATGGATACTGATGGCTTGAAGGTTGCCTCCTTGATACTCCATATTGAGACGCTCCCTTGCCTCGGAGCTATAGCCAGCCATTCCCCCTTCTCATCCAATGCGATAGCAATTATAGGCCATAACGAGTGCTGAGAGCATGTCGGCCGAATAATGTCTTTCGAAGGAAGTTGCCACATTGTCTTTAGTTGCCAAACCACAATTCTCCTATCCAATCCCACAGATACAACAACCCCCCTCGGAGACGCCGCAAGCATGACCACATCCAAAGAGTGCCCTTCGTAGAGGGTTTGACATGTCAGTGAAGGACCTTCGTTTTCTGGTGCCTCGACCATATCTGCAGTTATATCCTTCATTAAGAGGTGATTCATTAACAGAGTGACAGCAGCCACCACGATAATAACAGTCAAGATGAACCCCTGCATGTATTCCTTCACCGAGTCGACAGCAACAGCACTTACCAAGCTCGGCCACAAACCAGGAATCTTGGAACGAGACGAGCCACGGAGGACGAAAAATATGGGGTCGTACGCCTTGGCGACCATCCGGTACGCACCAGGCTTAACAACTCCAATGAGCTCTTTTCCAGTTAGTTGGTCCTGTCTCTTGAGCCAAGCTGTGGGTGTGCGCGCGACATTGATCGGCATAATTGGTGACGGGCTGGGACCCGGCGAATCTGTAAGCCTGGTTCCTCCTCGGTTGGTAACCATTTCGCATAAAGAGATCACGGTTCGTAATGGAGACTGGTTTTCCAGAAAATGCATGTTGAGAGCAACGAGAAAGCAGATCAGCTGTAGCACAGCTGTCAGCACTGTGATCCCAAGATATGAGACAAAAGTTTATAGACCATACAATAACGGAACCTGCAATCCTAGTACTCATCGGCATTGCCCTTTGCATTACTAATTCGCCTGATTTGCTCTGCCCTTCTTCCGGATCCGTTCGTCCGTTGTATGACTCGGGTTTGCTGAAAGAGAGCCGATCTAACGAATCCTGCAACTCCAGACGCCTTACATCGACACTTAAAACCGCCAAAAAGAAGGTCAGATGCAGGAAGAAGTCCGTAGCCAGGGCGACCCCAGCGAACGTGCAAAACTCCCTAACCGCAGGAACGGAGAATTGACCAATGATGAATAATAGCATCAGATCGGTCCCTACCGCCACCGAAGAGAGAAACCCAACATCTCCCAGAGCAATCGCTATGCGAGAAGTTGTGGGCTGTTCGGCAGGAGTTTCCAAAACCGCATTTATGAGACGGAACATGTTTTCAGATCCGATCACTATCACTACAAAAGGAAACACTTCCCTAACAGTACTCTCAGCTTCTCGTGTCTGGTTTAGCACCGGAAAAGAAAAGAAAAGATCGAATCATCGAATCATCGAATTTTTTTCCCCCCCTCTTCTCGAAAACCAAAGAATGAAGCCAAGTGATAGATAGACCCTTTTAAACATACCTAGGCACGTGAGATACTGGGACTTTGAAGAAGGCAAGTATCGTAAAGCTAGACAACACTGAAAATGCCATCTATTTCATCAAATTAGCTTGTGTCGCCTCTAGTTAAAATCCCCGCCAGGCTGATATATGGTACCTGTGTCAAAACTGCCGCAATAAGACCCAATCTTGACTTGACAGCCCGCAAATTTCGCAGAGAAATGGTCAGGTATGCCAGGGTAAGAAGATAGCATCCGGCCAGCATGAAATTGTCTAGCTTGCTCATGGGCTGAAACCGGAACTGTTTTCCCCCACCGTGTGATTAATGTCACAATCCGGCCCAACTCAAAGATAGGATCGGTACCTCGTAAAGTGTGCTCCCCTTCTCTTTCCCATCGCTCGGATAAACATCACATCTCCCATGGACATCTACCTCTTGCGCCAAGACGGCAGCCCGTTGATCCCAGAGTTCCCCAGCGGAGGAATCCAGGCGATAGAATAAACTGATGACCAAGGCATCCGCCTTGATCAATTGATTGTGATGAAATTTTTTACCAGCAAAGACGGAGCCCCACCGTAACGTAACGTTCGCCGGAGAGCGCTTGGTGAACCCTTTGTTAACCGTCATAATCAGGTTCGGGTCATTCTTTATTGCTGACAGAGAGCAATTCCAGTATAACAGCGGCGAGTGGAAGAACATCCCCGTCCCCATTCCCGGATTGCTCGAGTTCCCCCGCATGTCACTACTACCGCCATCTAACCCAGCATCCCCATTACTGCTATCGCCGCCACCGCCACCGCTGCCAGGCCCCGTTGTCTCCGTAAACATCCCACTCCCCGAAGGTGAACTGCATGAGACATCCGGACCCAAGAGCATCTGCTGAATCCTTAGGGCCTCTTCCACCACATCTAGCTTCAAAGCCTCCATGTACGACCCTTGAATCCACGCCTGCTTGATCCCAATATCTGGAATAGTGTGCGAGCTCGAGAACGGCCTGGCGGAAGTCCATACATGATGCGGCACGGAAGGTAGACCCGGAGCCGCAGCCGAGTAGAAGAAAGGGAAGGGGTAGCAGAGTATCACGGCAAAGATTACGGACGTCACGATTGTGATTACCGGGTGTCGAGCTACTGTTTCGCCATGACCCTGGAAAAAGATCCGGAGCGGAGAGGTTGGGGAGAGCCTCGGCGGTTCCGCTGTGTGTCTAAATGGCGATATCAGAGCCCAAAACTGTGGAAGACCAACACACCCCAAGAAGCGTCAGAAACAGCACACTATAAGAATTGGAGGGGGGGGGGGGGGGTGAGTGAATGAGAGAAAGGGGGCTCAAGAGAGAGGAAGAGAGAGAATATTGTTTTTGCTCTTGCTGTCATTGTTTTTCATCCTTTCTTCCTCTCCTTTCCCGCCCTTCCTTCCCGTCCTTCTCTCTCTTTCTAGAAAACGATTCCCCCCCAACGCGGATAGGAACCTTAAGCTATGGATGGAAAGGTGGCAGGTTTGGGTTACCATGAAGTGACTTAACGCAGGACAAAACGAGGCATGAGAAATGAAGACACAAATCGTGCAAGTCGAGGACGGGAATTATCAACGCCGGGTAACAGCTTAATTTTTGATTCTCTAAAAAGGATTGTCGGGAAGAACAGGATTCGAAAGGAAAAATGAAAAGCCGGTCCGGGAAATTTTTAGGACGAGGCGGTTTTCCCCTGCACGGTGGGAAATGGAGTGAAGGAATCGCTGGGTAGAAACAGCTGCCGGACCAATTGGAGAAAACGGAAGGTATGGGGCGCTTGGAAGGAAGACTCCTGGAGTGGTTGTGGTTGTAGCTGCGAAGAGGGCGAAGAGGAAGTCGAGGGATAATGAGGACGAAGAGGTTGCAACTTATTTTCCTTTTTTTCCCGCGGGGGGGGGGGTAGTTAAATTTAAGTAGGTGGAAGGCTGGAGTATGATAGGAAAAAAACAGAGGAGGAGCGCTTGTAAGTAGAATTTCAACGGGGGAAGAACATCCAGTTGCTCTGCCCGGTGTAAAAGGAAGAAAAGCCCAGCAACGATAACAGCCACAGCAGATGCGTTAGGAGGTCGTGAAAGAGTGGTTAGAGAAGGTAAGTAGTCTAGAAGAGAGAAAGGGAAACTACGAAATAAAAATATTTATTTTTCCTAACTCTTAGCCATCTACGACTGCCCGGCTTCAGCAGAGGAAAAGAAAGGGAAGAAAAAAAGGAAAGGGAGAAAAGACAACCAAAAGGAAAAAAGAAAGCCCTTTTCTGAAGCCAGCATAGCCAAGAACGGTAATGGAAGCCGCAAGGAGGTCTTTTATATTTTTTCTGTGTCCCCTTGTCTCTCTCTCCTTTGCATCTCCCACCGCCAGCCCAACACCAAACCTGACTGTGCGAGTAGGAGTATAGTATGTAACTCAGTGTATATAAGATATTTTTCCCCGGGAGGAAAGAAGAAAACGAATACGATAGCCATTCGAACCCGTCAAGATCGCTGCACAGAAGCCATGTGCGTGGCTGCGGAGGGGGGGTTACGGCGGAGGAAGAAGCAATGAGGACGATTGATACGGGGCAAGAAAAAAAATCTCCCTACACCCTCCACTCGTGCAGGAGTTTGAAATGATTGACCAGTTCGTAATTAGACTATCATACCCATGTTCTTCTGCGTGCTCGATTCCAGCGGCATCGAGTGAGGTACTGTGTGAGCACCGTAAAGCACCTGGAGGCACCGTACCTAAGTTATGGTGCATCATATTGGGAGGGTATCATAAACTTGTTCGAGAAAACTACCGCGATACAGAGTGCCGGTGCTCGGCCTGCTAGTTTTCTCCAGCCCACAACAGTACCGCACCAACTCTCCCAAAAAAAAAACGCACCCAGACACCGGTACCGGTATGTGTAAAGAGCTGTTCCTATGGCGCTAGTTAGGTAGACTATCATAGAATATCATCCCGGCCGACCCTAACTCCAGACTGTGAACCCAAAATCACCCCAAGACCAAATAGCCCAGCCACGATTCGGAACCAATACGAGTACTCGAGTAGAGCGGGGCGAGATGCGCGGGTACCGGTACCTGGCACAGTCGACGCCCATTTCCTCCCTTCCCTTTCCTTCCCGCCCCCCCGGTTCCCTACTTTTCTTCCCTTCACATCCCGGAAACGGGACAGGCCACCACTGTTTCGCGACTTATCAATTAGTCTTTTCCCTAATGCGACATTTTATGGGGGGGGGGGAGGTTTGTGCTCCAGTATGCACCCGAATAGCGTAGCACGAAGCACTACTTCTGTGGTTTCATACTCGCCCAAAGCGGTAGCCGCAGTCATGAGCCTCATGCTCAACATTTTTCTTCTTCTTCCGTCGGTCTCTCTGTTAATTTAAGTTACCAACTACCTTCTCCATGCTCCTGTATCTGCTATCCATCCGGTTAGTTCTGCACCTTAGCAGTGCTCGAGCACCGTACTCGAGTATACCACATCGCATCAACGAAACGGTGACCATTCCCATTCCCCCATGCTGCCTGCCCTCCCTCCAAGCAAAAGCCCAGGAAGAGGGTGGTCTAAGTAAGGGAGTGCGGAACCCAAATAAAAATTGTAACACCTTTGCTTTCATCCATAGCTCCCTCCCCCTTCTTTCCCCACCAATTGGCATACACATTGTAGTGTGGGCTGCTCGTAGAGTAGGACCAAACTAACAAACCCAGAAGACAAGACAACCCATCCTTATGCCGGCAAACACTTTTCATCTGTTCACAATACCGGTATAGGCCTTATAGTTACAATTCCGCAAAATAGTTTAGCAATTGCCCCAAAAAGAATATGATACGTGTTTGTATTATACCCACATCAACTAATCTGCCGGCTCGCCTAAAAACCCCAGCCCCGGATATGTGTGGCCATAATCTACTGCACTCCGCTGAGTGATACTGACTTTTGTGCTAGTTTCGACGAAGACGGCTACTAGTAACTTAACTTAGCGGGGACTTTGAGATTTCGCATCGAGAGTCAGATCCTAACAATCTAGTTGGTCCGGCGCCTGTCATCCAAAATAGGGGGCCTGTGATAGGTCAAGAAAACATAGCTTAAAATATGGTGCAGTGCCGAAGGGAGCAGGGAGGGTGTTCGGAGCTGGTCGGTTGTGCTGCTTAAAAGCAAAAGCAGCAAGGAGGGGAGGTGGGGGGGGGGAGGAAAATAAGGAAGTGGCTTCGTTTGTACGAGTACCGTACTCCTTTGGTCGGATGAGATCCCCGGGATCGGCGAATTGGCAGCTCAGAAGGAATGCTTCTTGCAAAAGGAAAAAAAAAGTCCCCGCAGGAATCAGCCACTTCTCGGAAGCCACGGGTGGCTGGTGAAGGATGGCTACACGTCGTGTGAGGTTCATAGGGGGTCACTCAGAGGTTGAGGAGATGGCTATGCGGGGTACAGTATAGGCGGATGAGTTGTCCGGCACCGGATATTGGGTTACGGAATTCGACCCTTCCCCTGACTAGACACCGGTATCCGGGGGTGCGTTTGTCCTCGGGTTGTCCATCGCGATGTTCATTTTTCCAGTGAAGTTGGTTGAGCAGCACGTGACTTGCAGCAAGTTCTCCACCAACGGTACCGGTATGATATCATACCGGTACATGGCGTGATTAAGTGCTGATGCACCTCAGCCAAACACGTAACTTAACGGGAACAGCGAGCGTGACGCTGGCGGAAGAATTGCAAGTGTCGAATCATTCCTTCAGATCCCTAAGGTCCCTGGAGGCCGCAAGTGTCTTGTTCCGGGGGTGTTTAGAGGCAGAGGTTGTTGTGTCAGAGTTGCTCGTTTGTGGTTGAGATGCATCGGCATTTAATCCCACCCAAGCAGAGTCCTCGAGAACTATGGCACCTTTTCTCACTGGGTATATGAATCCCTTGACTGGGAAATGGCGTCAAATAGCGAAGGAGGAGAAGAGGTGGAAAAAGGTGAAGAAGATGAAGAAGAAAGTGACTGAACATGATAAACAGACGCGCCCCCAGAAGCGCGGGCTGTCAATGTTCCTACTCTACCAACCGAGGGTAAATACCCGTCTCCCTGTACCCCTTGACCACCCCTAATTCAAGCGCCCGGCAGGATGCAATCGCTCCTAAAGTGTGATACTGGGGAAATCTGCTCTGCAAGTCGATGCATACCAGTCCCCGATCACACTGCCAAAAGTGGAACCTACCTGCAAAAGAACCTGCAAAAGAAAAGTTATCACTCTTCCCCCTCTAAGGCGCAGAGCCGTCGTTGCGCACCTCCGATCTTTCGCCCACCCATTGATGCGTTTGCTCTAATCGCCCCGCACCAGCCGGGTTCCCGGAGCATAATACCTTGGCCTCCTCTCCCCACTCCTCTGAGCAAGATAGGATGTACCTATAGACGTTGTCTCCGCTATCTCCCAAGTTCCCAATCGAGTATCTCCAAAACCAAGTTCCGCGCGTCTTTTGCGATCTATCATGTCTTTCCTGCTCCTGCATTTCCGTAAAGCCTAAGACCGAGTGACACGGCACGACCTCCAAGAAAATACAGCCAGCGATGGGAAAGGTCACTCAGAAGGAATGGGAAAAATATGACAGCGGAACGGCGTAGCAACATTTGACGCCGGGAAGATGACATGGATTCCAGTAGCTCCCACGATAGAGAAAGCACTACCGTGCGAGTACTCTGGAGAAGAAGGTGGGGCAAATTCCACAACGAAAAGGTGACAAAACAGCTGGTTCTAGGCAAGGGGGCAGCAGCCTTTCGCTAAAGCGGAGTCTACTCGAGTAGAAAGTGCCAGACCGAAAACGACAGACGAGCTATAAATTTAAGCTAGAGCGCAAAACTGAGAAAAACGCCTACGAGTAGACGAAAGACTCGCTCTAGAAGCAGACCGGCGGTATCGGGGCGCCAGCCATCTCCCTCCAACCTCCCTGCCACAAAGCCACTACGCGCTCAGCAGGTCGCCCGAACCTCAAACCCCCACAACCCTAGGAGCTAAACCGGTGGCCGTGAAGCATATGCTAGCTTTAAACCGGGCCCGAACCTCTGAATCTCCAGAGTCTATTTTGCCTCTGTTACCATACCGCACACTACGCCGGTCCAGCCCCCCGTACGATGAGCGCAGCTTTTGTACAGATACCGTGGTGGGGGAATTGGTTCACTGAAATTCCACCGAGGTCTCGGATGTATCCATGGTGTTCTATGTGTTGTGATGGTAGTCGCTATCAGAATGCGCAGTGCTAATAGAACAGAACAGTAAAGAGAATATCTGTGGTGGGATCACTAAGAAAGGTGTGTTCTTTGTCTCTCTCTCCTTCGCTCATAGGTATGGTAATGACAGGTGTATAAGGAAAACATCATCAAAGTAATCTAACCTCTCCATAAACCACTACACCCATCTCTCACATTCCCTCCATGTCCAAACTCTTCTGTTCACATCCGTAATAACAAAGGAAAGACATATCTGTGAAATCTGCTTCCAGCCTTCAAACAAATCTATCCTACTGCTAAATCCCGAAAACACTCCTGCCACTCCCACAAACAACCTTATCCTTCCACTTTCCATTCCTTCCATGACCAACCATGACACACTATCACTCATCACTTCAACACTATGGCAGGTTCTATATTGAGCACTATTGATACCTATAGTACTGTGTGGGTACGTTAAGGGGGAGGGAGGTTCACTTGGGACTGAGTGCTTGTAAACTGATAAAGTATCCAGTCTCCTTGGCGCCAAGACGGATATCAATTTATTCCAAAGCACTGTACCGGTACCCTGATACAGTATCTTACCTCACGAATTGGCAAATGCAGTACCGCAGTTAAGGGATGCGGTGCGGGAAAAACTCCAATATCATAGCTAGTGACGGGTGTCCGTGTGTGGGTGGTTTACCGCTTCAGTAATGTATTGAAGATGCGTAGTGTGGTGCTTTTACCATCTAGTGAAAAACGGCCCTACCTGTTACTGGTTTGCTGTTACTGGAGAAGCGATAAAGCATAATTGGGAAAATCGGCTAGGAAACCCCCTCTGCACAAGGGCGATTCTCAGCCTGCAACGCACAATCATGATCTATCACCCGATAACCCTATTATTAACCCAAGTTCACAGCTTAGGTTAACCCCACATCACGTGCCACGCTAGTGGTGGGGCACTAGGAGACGAGCGGAAAAAAATTTATCGATAGGGCCCAACCGCAGCGCTATCAAATGGTAAGTTAGCACTACCGGTATCTTACAAACCGCAAAACAAAGCGCTCAATATCCACCAACAATTTCACTCCCCCTTCCAACAAATCAATCCATTATCCTCAGCACAACCTCAGCCAAAGGCCGTGATGCCATCCCCGAACATCTGGATAGCAGCCAGCGACAACGACGTCCAATCCGTAGGACACTTCCTCTCACAGGACCCTACATGCGTAAACTCCAAAGACGAAAACGGGTGTTCGTCCCCTCTCCCTCCGATCCTTTATTATTATTATTATTATTTTGACTCACCAACTTGCCAAGACACACCCATCCACGCCGCTGTCTCCTACAACCACATCCCCCTCCTCCGCTCGCTGGTACGTACCCACGGTGGGGACGTGAACGTGCAGGATAGCGAGGGTGATACACCCCTATTTGTAGCTGAAACCGTCGAAGTTGCCCGGGTGCTGGTGGAGGAATTGGGAGCTGATGTTGGGCATAGGAATGGGCTGGGGTTGACCGTGCTCCCCCCGTCCATGTAGTGCCTCAAATTCGCTGGCTAATGCAGGGGGGGGGTGCTAGGCAGCGGACACAATTGAGGAGGATGGACAGTTCCCGTTGGTTGCTGCGTATTTGTGTGGGTTAGGGGCCGTCGAAGCCACCGCCGGCGAGGATGGGGAAGGAGTGGAGGGAAGAGCAACGACGTATCCGAAGCCGCCGCCGGGGATCTCGGTTGATCTAAGTGCTGCCGAGGATGCGTCTGAGGCGCTGCCGCCCGTGGACGACGCGCTTAGGCGGAAGATTGAGGAGCTGGCGGCACGAGAGGACTTTAATAACGAGGAGACGCAGAGGGAGTTGAGGGGTCTTGTCACCCAGGCTGTGCGTGATCATGTAATGGATGCGGGGGAGGAGCAGAGGAGTGTTCGGCCGCGGTAGGAGGGAAGCGCTTAGTGGAGGGAGAGAGGAAAGGAGGGTTAATTTATGTTTCATAAGATAGATGATGCTTGGTTTCAATGTTTTTTTTTCCCGCGTAATACTTTATTCGTGTATTTCACCATTATTTATGCATACCGCTAGTTTTTTCTGGGGTCGCACCAATGCGGAAGCTAGGACTTTTTTGCCCTATACAACCAACTGGGTGAGGGAAAACGAAACACCTTGGATGAATGCTGAAAAAAAGAGAAAAAAAAGAGGGAGGGGTGTTGAACGGGACAAGGAAATTGTATCTCTAATCTGGGTTTATCATCGCTGTGCCGAACCCGCTCGTAAATCGGAAAAAAAAGCACGAAATCTACGAAACGCGTGTATCATGCCGCATGTCCCCACGAGGCTACGATCAAGCCTTGTTGCTTGCCTTCATCTTCTTGTAGAAGTCAATCACCGAAGTAAAGACGACGAGAAGGATACCTGTTGAGAAGAGTGAGGAACTTAGCAAGGGATCGCCATTACGATAGGCAGTAACGGGGTTGAGCGAAATAGGAGACGTACCCCCTCCTGGGCCCAAACGAAGAACCTTGGGCAAGAATCCCTTGTAAAGCGCGGCAAAGCCTTCCTCTTTGGCGACTAGAGCTATCGACGGAAGAGTCCAGTTATACTTTGGAACGACACCCTTGACTTTGACAGTATTTTGGATACGAGATTTAACCACGTCAGCACTGTTATTCCTTAAGGTTAGTAGGGTCTTTCCAAATGGAGGCTCCAATATTAGGGGGGTGGGGGCAAATAGTACGGGGTATTTAGGATGGTTCCGAATGTTCCACCAATGGATCCGGCAACAAGATCATTAGTCATCTGCCCCTGTTTGGTTTCTGACTTTGGAAGAAGTTTCTTCACTTGGAAGATAACTCCAAAGTATCCCGCGTTCCACAGGACGTGCCTCCACATAGTGCTCTCCAGTCCGGTGTATAGACCCAATAGTCCATCCGATGCAACCACCTTCTTCACTACATCAATAGGTCCGTTATATGAGGATTTTTTATCCTGGAGACGGATCTTGACTAGCTCAAAGGGAACAACGACAAAGGTTTCTGTAGCACCGGCAGAGGCACCAGTAAGGACCGATATAGGCTGGTTCATCTCCGCTACGCCAAACATCTTGCGGTAGATTTTGCCCCACTCGTCATTCGCAGCAAACTTGGTCGCCCTAAGACCTAAATTAGGAATAACCATCAAAAAAGGAGGGAGCTATGGGAAATATGGGGGAGGCGGCACCTCTTGGGAGCTTCCATAAGGATAGGTGCAGCAATTCCACGATACAATCTCGGGAACCTTATGTAACGATCAGCAAAATTGTGGAGCTTTCGATTGAGTTATTTGAATCGAACCCTTCGTTCTTGATGATTTTGCGGAAACAGTCGACCATGCCGTTGTACCTATCGGCACCCTTTGCAGTATTATCTTGAAGTTGACTTGACACGGGGAATTTGGGTTAGTGCGATGCTGTGGGGATTCGAATGGAGCGAGAAATTCTCACACGCGAGTCTTGACCACATCAAGAGGATACCTATCAAACCACCGTTAACAAAGTCGACTCTAAGGGAGAGCACTATGGGTTCAGTTGCAGGTAGAGAATTACATAGTAAGAATCTAGACGTTAAAAAAAAGGTCCACGTTAGCATATTGACCACTTCATCCGCGAGAATGGTGGGGTTGCTGACCTCACTGATTCCCGCGATAGCTCCTGTTGGTCCACATGGTTATAAGTTGCCGTAGAGATGGATAGGAAGTCAAACGAATGAGTACCAACCTGCCGCAAAGGACACAGGGAACGGAATGGGCTCTGGTTGTTTAGACATTGTTGATGGGTTTGTCCGGGATTCGTTGACGAAACGGGGAAAAATGACCCAAGAGGTTGGAGGGAAAGGGTGAGGGAGGGAAAGGGAAGACGATTGGGGGAGTGTTGTGCAGTGGATCCCACCAGATATAAGTTGACGTGGAATAGGTGGGGGAGCCGAGTGCAAAGTACAGTACCGTACCGTGCGAGTGGTCTTCCGGGACGAGATGTGCAGGGCCCTACCGGTAGTGGGCCAGGGGGGCTCAGTCGTACGCACCCCCACACCTACGGATTAGAGACATCGAGCGGGAAGCGCATATCCACACTCGACTATCGGTAGAGTGATCCGCCACGGTGTGGGCTTTTTGCGTCGACAGACTGCTGCACGGCTCGTGTATAAGTCACCGTTGTGGCAATGTGAGTTACCGGTAATCCATCTAGCCGGAGGTGTGAGTTTTCCACTGAACCCACCAGAATCCGATGCGAATCAATCGATATGCCAGCCCGGCAGGAGATGCTTCACCCAGAAGCGGAGCGGTTTCAATCTCGCGGGAGATAGATAAGATATGGTATCGTGATGTGCCGATACATTGTGTCAACTGTGATCTTTATAGTGCTGGTAGTATGGGTAGATGTTGGACGGACCGCGTCTATAATGGGTTAGCTATGGTGCGAATCGACTACAACCTGTACCAACGCCTTTCAAAATGTAATGCATTGGATAAGCAGGGTTAGGGGTAATGATATGATACCATTTCTGGTCTGAGATTCTATACCCTAACTTACTATACAATAATGATGATAATATATATATATTCAGAGGGTAAAACAAGGCATATTTTACAAGCAATAAATAATTCAAGATATTGCAGTATGGTATCAAATTTCATGCTGGTAATGGTGATCATTGCCCTTAACCCTGCCCTTAACCCTGCTTACAGGCAGCAGGAGGCATTACATTTTGAAACGGCGTTGCTACAGGTTGTAGTCGCTTCGCACCATATCATATCCTCTCTACAAGTATCATAGCCATTTCTCCGTATATAGAACTTGGTCGATAGAGTAATTAACTCGTGTTACACTAACTTAATCACTATTTGGGATTGCGGGGCAACCGCGTCGCGTTCGTCTGCGAGTGGCGTACGAGTAGCAATGGTTTTCTGGAACGGGGCAACACCAAAAACGCGTTCCATTTAACCTCCACCCCCCCCCCCCCTTTGTTTCTCGTCTGTGGTGACCGGCAGGGTGAGAGGTTTTATTTTTTTCTCCCCCTCGTAGGTTACATATCTACTGCGCAACCGCTGCCTACCGTACCATACGCTTGCTATCATCTACCTTGATTTGCTGTCTCTCACTCGCTCGCTTTCACCGCCGGTATTCTATTTCAAAACATCTCTATTCCTTCCAGCCATTTTGTAGACTATTAGCTTTTGGCTCATATCACCTCCCCTAATGCCATGTCTCGTCGAACTAAAAGCTTCTTTGAACAAGACCATTCCGCAAAGGTGGGCCCTCTTGCTGTCACTTTCTTGGTCTCAAATATCGTGATTGACTGGCAGGTGCTGCGCAATTTTTTAGGCAAAAGCTCCATACTCATATAACAGGAGAGGGAATCCCAACCCGCTACAACAACAGCAGCACCAACAGAACATAACTGGGAGCAACCCTTCTACAATTCCTCCTTCCAAAGAGACAAAGGCAAAACTGAGCGCATTTGCTTTCGGTGGCTTGACCCCTCGCCGTGGGAGAATGGGGTCCGGCGGTGGAAAGGGGGCAGCGGGAGAGGGAGACGGCGAGAATGATGCAGAAGCTTTAGCAAGGACCCTAGACTCGGAGCCGATGTCGGATCCGACCAAAGAGTGCCCACAGACTCCCGCCCCACGACTTGCCTTGTCGGATCTCATCGGAATTGGCGAGGAGGGAAAACTCCCACAGCCTGTAGCGCAACCAGATGTTTCCCCGGAGGATAGGATCATGTGGCAGTTGTCACCGAATGGCTCGCAAGTAACGCCGAAGGTCAAGGGGAAAGGGCAAAAAAGGAAGAGAAATATCGAATCACCCCCAGGGAATGTTGCTCATCAGGACTCACCGGCACCGAGAAAACCGGGCACTTTTAGCTTGCAAGGCCTGAACACGGACCTAAAAACGCCATCAGCGGATCCTGCGATGCAATTATGGAGTAAATATTCTACAAACACTAATTCTGGTCCTGCGGCTGCGCGCCCCATCAACCCCGTCGCTCGTCTTTTCAAGAGCGGGGAAGCGTCTCAAAACGGGGTCTCGGATACGTCGCCCCTCGGTTTGAGACGTTCATATAGCTGTGGTCCAGATTGGCCTGGCCATTCTCGCTTGAAGAAGCGAAAGACAAACCCTGAGTTGGGTTCCGAAGCAAGCATCGCGGAAGAGCCTACAGAGGACCCCAAGAGCCTCACCGCCGGAGCCAGTGGCCCCGGGCCGTCGAGATTATCAAGAGTTAGTCGCCTGGTTGACAAAGTGAAGGAGACCTTGGGAAAACCCTTAGCCCCGCCAGATTTACCATCCTCTTCTTCCCCATTACCGGAAAGACATCCCAATTTCGGCTTGACGTCGTCTCCACTCGGTTGTGGAAGGCTGAGGGCACGGGGAAATCCTTCTCTTGGTAGGAGTATAGCACTTGCCGAAGAATCCGCGCCTATCGAGAGCTCTGACTCGGAGGACTTTGGTGAGTTCGACGAGGCTGATATTGACATGGATATGCTGGAAAAGGCTGAGGAGTTAATAAGGGGTTCCCAGTCCCAAACTCGGCCCAACCCGATTGCAGAGGGCTCCTATAATCCCCCAATACCTACTCGCGAGCAGCCAATGCAACCGGCCCAGGGGAACTCCGGGTTATCCGTAGGTGCCGGTGGAGAAGACGATTTTGGTGATGGGGATGATGATGATTTCTTCACCCAAAATTTTGAGGAACTGGTTGCTAAGTTTGACACACCTGCCGTTGAACCCATTCCGGCCAGTAATCTAGCAGGAGGCCCTCGAGGACCGGATCAGGAAGGGTTAGTCGCTAAAGTTCGGGATCGAGCAGACGAAAATGCCAAATTTCTGGAAGAATTTGGTGAAATTGATTTTGATGAATGGGAGGAAGAGGAACTAAAGATCACTCAAGGGCTTGTGCGTATTACCTGTGACTGGGTTCCGGCAGTTCTCTAATAATTTCAAGACAGATATAAACGCGAAGGTCATAAAAAGATATCTAGTTCTGGAAATATCCGAAAGCCAGTGGGAACTGGGGAATCATTTCTCGCAAAATCAAAAGGTGGGGGCTTTAGTATATACTTTTGAAATGCTGTCATGCTAATCTGCTCAGGTATTGAAAGTTAAAGATGAAAGACTAGATCATGAGAGAACAATTCAGCTCCGAGAATCGTGGTATCTCGATACCGATATCTCTAAAGGCGACTATCTACATCTGATCGGAGCTTTTGACTCTTCCGGAAATTGTGTCGTTGATAATGCTCACAACATGATTATTCTTCACCCGGATTTCCTTGTTTCAAGTACGGTGGTAGCAGACTCCTTTAGCTGTGTACGGAAGGCAGTTTTCCAAGATCGTGTCAAAGCAACTGGTGACATCAGTAGGCCAATGGTGTACGGAAATATTCTTCATTCACTTTTTCAGATTGCTTTAGAAGCGAACGATTTTTCGACTGTATTTCTACGAAAAAGCATAGACTCACTCGTCGTCCAGTATGTAGAGAGTCTATATATGTTAAAAGAGCCACTTCCTGTCGCGACGGAATATTTATCCTCGAAAATACACCTTGTCCAAGATTGGGCAACTTTGTTCATTTCGAAAAAGCCTAAGGTAGTGTTCTTTCTGCTTTGGAAACTCGCGCAGCTAATCAATATACCTGAAGGAAAATGCTATCGTTACCGAGCATCGCACAAGATATAATCCAATAGTTGCTATTACTAAACTTCTCGATATCGAGGAGCATGTTTGGTCTCCAATGTTTGGCTTAAAGGGGATGATTGATGCCACCGTTCAAGCTACAATTATTGACCACAAAAGTGAGAAAGTATTAACTATCCCACTCGAGCTCAAGACCGGCAAAAGCCCGACTGTAATGATGCACCGCGCTCAGACAATGCTCTATACTCTTTTGATGTCGGATCGATATGGTAAGTTGGCTGGTATTATCTATCGGCCAATGGCAACTAACTTGATTTTAGACATCGACGTGCAATGCGGATTGCTATACTACCTGGAGAGTAAGGAAATGATTCGCGTTCCGGCTATCAGAGACGAGTTACGCGGGATGATCATTGGTCGTAATCGCCTTGCGAGTTACATTCGGAACAGAGAGGTCCTTCCGGATATGCTAAAAAACAAATATACCTGTGGAAACTGTTATGCTAAGGAAACTTGCTTTATATACCATAAAGTAGGCTCAATCCCGCAGGTGACACTCCCGGCGGGGCAAGTGCTAACCGGCCATAGCTTCTAGAAGACGGTACCCCCCAAACTAGTGGCGTCGAGGACCATTTCCACGACATCACCAGCCACCTTGGCCAGGCGCATCAAACATTCTTCAAGCATTGGGACAACTTACTATCCAAAGAAGAGAAGGACATCTCTCGTTTTAGGAAAGAGCTTTGGGGACTGCTCAGTTCTGAACGAGAGGCGCTAGGAAGGTATTTTGCTATAGCGCCCGTTTTGAATGTTGGTACGGGGCTAATGTATAACATTTGAGTTAAGATGCTTCGGTCAACTTGTTATTGTGCCGGGTTCAATCTCCGTTGATTCTTCAGCCTCGAAGATCAATAGATACACCTATAGTTTAACAAAGGGTGAAGGGGCAGCGGTTCCGGGGTTTACTTTCTTGGATTCTATGATCAACCCTGGTGAGCCCATTGTGATTTCAGATGAACAAGGTCACTTTGCCCTTGCGCTGGGTTACATAACGGAAATCCGCTACAATCGGGTCACTGTACAAGTAGACCGGCGATTGCATAATGCGAGAACGCGCAAGCCTGGGTTCAATAAGAAGACCAATCAGGTGTTCGTGGGCATCATGGAGGTTTCCAAAGATGGCGAGGAGCAAGATTTTTCTCAGTCTATCAGTCCAGGTGAGGGAATCCGCTATAGGTTGGATAAGGACGAATTTAGCAATGGGATGGCTTCTGTTAGGAACAACCTTGTTCAAATCATGTCACCCAAGTCAAACGAGAAGTACCGAAAACTCCTCGTGGACTTGGAGCCGCCTGTGTTCAAAATTTCACCAACAGCTTATTCAACAAATAGTAGCAGTCAAACTAATCTGAATGAAGACCAACGTAAGGCAATTGAAAAGGTCATGAGCGGTATGTCGTCCCCCTTTCGAAGTGTGCGACGGTGCCGCTAAACAAATAAGATAGCCCAAGATTATGCTCTCGTGCTTGGTATGCCCGGAACGGGCAAGACCACTACCATCGCCCATATCATCCGAGCACTCGTAGGGCAAGGAAAAAGTGTATTATTAACGTCTTACACACATACTGCCGTCGATAATATCCTTTTGAAAATCAAGAACGACAATATTGATACCCTGCGTCTCGGCTCAGCGACCAAGGTGATCCATACATTTCAAGCTATGCGCGATTCCCCAGTACTAATTAGGGACTAGATTCACCCCGAGGTCAAAAGCTTCGCACAATTAGCAGAAGGTCAGAAAACATCTTTTGAAGAATTGAGAGAAACCTTCCATATCCCTAAAGTTGTTGCTACAACATGTCTCGGGATAAACCAGTGAGTCCGCCATTCAGGTGCAATAGCTGAACCGGCGCTGACTAAAACTCAGCCCTATCTTTTCCGAACGCAAGTTCGACTACTGCATCGTTGATGAGGCCTCTCAAATCACGCTGCCTGTCTGTCTTGGCCCGATCCGAATGGCCAATACATTTATATTGGTCGGCGATCATTACCAGTTGCCTCCACTCGTACGAAGTCCTGAGGCACGTGAAGGGGGACTAGACGTTAGTTTATTCAAACTATTGTCAGATAGCCACCCCCAGAGCGTGGTAAACCTGGAGCACCAGTATCGAATGTGTGAAGAGATCATGACATTGTCGAATGACCTCATCTACAAAGGGAAACTCAAATGTGGCAACGAGCAGGTTGCAAAGAGGACGCTGCAGGTACCGCACATTGATGGGCTGTTGAGGCTCCATTCTTCTACGCAAGATACACGGTGTGGAAGCGGGCCCTGCTGGATTCAAGATCTGTTCGTGGATGGGTATGTTCATCTTTCGGAACCGTTTCCCCTAGCCAAAAAGATATCATGTTAACTCCGTGAAATTTTAGTGTGAAAGCTTGCTTCGTAAACACAGACAGTGTTCCGGCAAAGGAAGTCCGAAAGGGTGATCGAATTAACAATCCGATTGAGGCTGATATTGCATTTCAAGTAGGCATCGAACGCTTAATCTCGCCTGTCTAAATACTTCTAACATTGATTTCTGCAGCTCGTCGAGGGATTCTTGAGTTGTGGCGTCGATCCATCCTCTATTGGAGTCATCTCAGTCTATCGCTCCCAAATTAAGATTTTACAGAACCTCCTCCGTAATAGACCCTCCGTCGAGATGCACACAGCGGACAAATTCCAGGGTCGTGATAAGGAAGTAATCGTCATTTCCCTCGTTCGTTCAAATGACGATCAAAACGTTGGCGAACTCCTCCGGGATTGGCGAAGAATCAACGTTGCGTTCACCCGAGCACGGAGCAAACTACTTATCCTCGGCTCCAGATCAACACTTCAATCCAACGAACTCCTAGCAGACTTTGTCAGGCTCATGGAGAGAAACAAGTGGATATACAACCTACCGCCCGACGCCCAACTCACTCACTTTATGTCGCAAACCCAGTCCTCAGCAAGCGTCGACTGTAAGAAGGTGGGAGCCGCCAAGGGTTTAGAGAATCGTATGAACGGGAAGAGGTTATTGAACTCAAGGAGCGCCTTTTTGGGCAACAGGCCGGTTTTGAAAGACATTGTAAATGGTGTGATGTAAGCAAGATTTGATTACTCTCGTTGTTCGAGCATAGCCGGATTGTGGGCCTGTTCATAAGTCGTGGTCGCTGTTTGTACATGTAGGGCTCGCACTGGGTAAAGAGTTTTGTGTTTTATGCTTAGAGATTAGTTGATGGTATTTATATTCCTAAGACCAACTGTGCAATGGAGAAAAGTTCATAGTATCGCACGCGAATCCGAGTGATTGGCTATGTTAAAATGTTTAAACGAGGATATGACTCATTGCCCTCTTAGATTTTATCAGGTGATCACGTTTTAGCGGATTATTTAATCAGAAGGGAGTCAATTGGTCGCGACGCGTTGGCTCCGCCACTCCAGACCCCTCAACGCCAATTTTCCCCTTTCCTCGCGTCTCCCTCTCACCTCTCGGGAACACATCGTATTACCATCTCCTCTCCCATCATTACCACCACCACCACCGACAACCATAAAAACTATACCTTGTTAGAAGAGTATCGACCATGAGTTCCGAGGAAGCCGCACAGGAGGGCGGAAGCCAATTTGACGATCAGTCCACCCAGATGGGTGGGCCGGGAGCCCCTACTCCCCTCTCTGCCCTTGAGGTTCGCTAGTGCCCCTGTCTATTACAGATGTAACGGGGTGGGGAGGATGGCTAACCGATGGGCGCATACAGGGTAATGGAATCAGCGCACGGGATATCAAGGCCGTTGTGGAGGCCGGGTATAACACTGTCGAGGCCGTGGCGTATACGCCGAAGAGAGCTCTGCTCGTTATCAAGGGCATTTCCGAGGCTAAAGCGGATAAACTTATTGCCGAAGGTAAACGTTGACCGTTTGTTCCCGTGCAGGGGCCATGACCTAACAAGCCATGTCCAGCTTCAAGATTAGTCCCCATGGGATTCACCACCGCAACAGAAATGCATCAACGTCGCAGTGAGTTAATCTCCATAACAACCGGTTCGAAAACCCTCGACACCCTTCTAGCAGGCGGTATCGAAACGGGCTCCATCACAGAGGTATTTGGTGAGTTCAGGACCGGAAAGAGCCAGCTTTGTCACACTCTCGCTGTGACATGTCAACTACCTTTCGACATGGGTGGCGGTGAGGGAAAATGTCTGTACATTGACACTGAAGGCACCTTCCGTCCTGTCCGTCTACTGGCTGTTGCCAACAGATACGGATTGAATGGAGAGGAGGTTCTGGATAATGTTGCTTATGCACGTGCATATAATTCCGACCATCAGTTGCAATTGTTGAACCAGGCGGCCTCGATGATGACTGAGACGAGATTCTCGCTCTTGATAGTGGACAGTGCGACTTCATTGTACAGGACGGATTTTGCGGGGCGTGGGGAACTTTCTGCTAGACAGACGCATCTGGCAAAGTTCATGAGGACGCTGCAGAGACTAGCTGATGAGGTTTGTCCCGCCTGACCTATCAGAGAGCTACTCCGGGATGCTAATGCGGATTGCATAGTTTGGTATTGCGGTAGTTATCACCAACCAAGTTGTCGCACAGGTAGACGGTGCGGCAATGTTCAATCCCGACCCGAAGAAGCCTATTGGCGGAAACATTATCGCGCATGCTTCTACCACCCGGTATGTATTCTCTACACTTGTACTACATCACAATCCACTAACACCCGCCTAGCTTATTCTTCAAGAAAGGTAAAGGTGAAACCCGTATATGCAAAATTTACGACTCCCCATGTCTACCAGAGTCGGAGTGCATGTTTGCTATCAATGGTGTGTTATCCCCATGTTTCTCCCGCTTTTTTTTTTCACTAATGTGATACTAACGACTATGATATAGAGGACGGAATCGGCGACCCAAATCCTAAAGATTTAGAAAACTAGAGCACCCACCGTGTCCTTTTCTTCCTTCTTCTTACTCTATTTTAAATTCCCTGCCTCTCTCGTTGTCCTGGGGGGGGAGGTTTTTTTTTTCCCTTTCACCTTTGAATTACGAATAGTCTCACTGGGGGCGTTGACTAGCTTAAAAGGATGGTGCTGGGGGGTTCATGATGGGATGTCTTTTTTTCGTTTTATTTTCCTTCTACTCTCTTTATGCCTTCAGCTTCTAGCCGGATGGATGGATGGGTGATGGCGGTGGGGTTGTGCGGATTGGGGTATATATATAATGGAATAGTATTTCATGAGTTTTTTTTTTTTGGAATAGCACTGGCAGACGTGAGCTGGCTGGTGGCAGTGGAGCACGCATGTGGCATACCATCATGGACCAAACTATTGTAGCTTTTGACTCTGTACAGTACGCCGGTTCGGACCAGAGCACCGTGGTGTGCTGGTCATCGCTGGGTCGATCCCTTCCTATCATGTAAAGGTCCTTACAACCTCTCTCTTTAGTACCCTCCTTCCATAGAGACTTTCCATGACTATTCTACTCCGTGGAGGCCGCAGAATGTCTACTGCCACACTCACAGCCAAAACTAGTAGTACCATCTTAGTGGCAAAATCTGTGGCACTCCCCCCCATTTTACAATAAAAATGGCTGGTTCCAAACATCCCCAACTCGCCTGAAAGTAGTATAGAATTAATGGAATCAATACCATAGTGTAGACAATTCCCTAGACTTTGTAGGTAGAAATTAGACTTTCCCGGCTCCGCTAGTGGGTCCGAGAGCTTGGTGTCTAGTATGGATCGTGTTGCAATGTAACTGTTCATACAGGAAACACGTATAAAATGGGAAGTGCTGCTTCTTCCTGCCATTATCACTTCTGTCATTGAGCCATGAGATCTGGTTAAGAGAGCTCGTCACATATTGATGAGAGTGTTGGAGCCTTATCATTTTGTTGTAGAGCGACAAGGCCTAGATCGGGAGGGCCACGAACTTTGTTTGTCGTTGAGATGGGAGTCTGAACGTGGATGAAGGGTGGTGTAGGTGTGGTGCGGGGGTGAGGATAGGGATTACCACCCGTTGTGTACTGTAGGCTTGCCACGCTGATAACGGCCGGGCTTAAGTGTGATACCGTAGTTGGATATATTCCCACTCCACCCGAGGTTACCCAAAGATATAAGCAGTGTTCCCAACGGGCCAGGTAGGCCAGGCTGAACCAAAGCCGGGCCCGGCCTGCCACGACTATTGGGGATTTAGCTTGGCTAGGGCCTGCAGGCTTTGAAAAACCTGGGCCTGGCCTGGCCGGGCCCAGCTATAGGCTGTATAGGCTAAGTACCTGCCACCTGATAGGCCGGCCCGGCCTATATTGCCAAGCCTACAATCTCTTCAGATCTTTGGTTTCCCTTCGGCTCATATTTCACCCTACTAAACTAGTCCGAGTTACTCCGGCATGAACCGGAAGTCACATAGTTCCTACGCAAAATTCCACACGTTGGTGTTAATACTCGAGTAGAATTGAACGAGTATCAGTCAGATTACTAATAGTATTAGGCACTGATCCCATGTGTGGGTAGTGATATGGATCTGCTCGTGGTTCACAAAAATCGCCAAGGTCTAATAGAACTGGGTCAACCATAGTGGGCATATTCGCTGATGGATTTAATAGAATTACTGCGGAAGAAAGTGAAATCAGAAGGAAGTATTGCAAGATAGGACTGCATTGGAGAATCTGGAGGTAGATTGCCTGGCCTTTGTTGAGCTGGCTGTCGACCGGTGATCGCGTAGTTATCATACTTTTAACTAATAACTGAGGATATGGATAAAATAATAAACCACAATAAAAGTTTTAAGGAATTGAGCTATTCTTAAAACGATCAGTTCTAAAGATCCTAGTTGCAGGTCTGTAGGCTCCTACCAGGCCTGATAGGCTTCTGCAGGCCGGTTGAGTTCGGCCTATATTCACCTAGGCTCACCGCCAGAGTGGCCTGCCTTGGCCTAGCCTATCAGTGGCCTAACCCGTTGGGAACACTGGATATAAGAGATACTAACTGTAGGCTCCGGAGCTATGCCGACTTTCTCGTGCATCTTGCGGAAGCCTAGCGCTAGATAGGGTTCTGTTTTAGTATGATAGAGACCAAAAAACCCTCCCACCACAGCTTCCAATACAAAAATCATCAAGTGCCAGTATCACCTTTACTACTCAATCAATAAACTTCCCAAAATATGAGATATCCATTTGCAACAACTTGTAAGAAAAAGTCCAGTGAATTCTCTTAGATAGTTGGGTTTTCTCAATCGAATAGAGGTAGCGATACAACGCTGTGAACATGGCTACATACGTTGGGCGCGGGAGGCACTCTAGCCGGCGATTTTTGTCTCCATCCTGGCCCACAGAGAGGGAGCCAGGTAAGAATCGGCGAATACATCTTATGCGATGCATGAAGTATGATAAACGATATCTCACTCGATATCATACGCTTTGGATACCCTTAAGATGCCGGAAGGTGTCACCCTAATGGGGATTTCCTTGGTCAGCGCACTGCCTCACAGAAGGGTCCAAATGTAGCAGGCGTTCGTTCATATGTCTAACAGCAGGTAATCAATCGTCTCTCGAACACTCTTTGCGCTCTCGCCATTCCTGCCCTTCTTTCACTCCTCTGGTTGCAGATTGGTAGTTAGGTGGTGCTAGCGCACACTTTGTAGTGGGTATTACTGCCCTTGGCCAAAGTAGGTGGGTGTGGTAGACACCATTTCATCTGTGGAGAAGGTGTATCGGGATTAGGTTGGTGCTTCTGTCTGTCTGAGCTTCACAACGGAATAGCTTATCTGTCTGTTTGTCTTTGGGAAATTATCAGTTAGACGTTCAGCTAAATCACGAAGAATATTGGCCTCATTAGAGCTCAATTTCCGGTTCAATAATATACAACGTGGGACCGGGCTTGCGGGTGATAGACGGGGGGTTGTTTTTGGCGCCTTGGGTTCTGGCTGATGATTGTGGTGTCAGTGAGAATGTGTGTGGGACATCTAATATTTGAGGCGAGTGATATTTTATGATGGTTAGCATTCTCTGGTTGTTAGAAGTGTGTTACAAGTCCTTATTTCCGGGAGAAATGACCAACCTATTGTCCACACATAGGCACGCTGGTAGCTTCGGGCAGTGTTCTAGATTAGATTTATGGTAAACCGTGTGAGGTGTCCCTGTACTGCTATGATATAGAGTTATCATTATTTCGGCCTTCCCGGGAACCTCTAGCCATGCATGTGTAATCGGCATTCTGCTTCCAAATACTATCATGGGCAGAGTTCCTTTATCACTAGCATTCCCGTTATAGTCACCTCTCTAGTAGTACAGATCTCTTATCATCTGTGGAATTGGCGGTAAAAGTACTACATTACTCATAATCTTCTGATGCCTGTAAAGATGACTGGGTCCCCATATGTCCACATATGTCTACATATGCAGGCAAGAAAAGATTCATGAGAGATTTATTCGTAGGAGTAGGGAGAGAAGTACTCTTTTGGAACTACCAAATAGCTTCTTAGGAGGATTTATAGTGTAGGAGAAAAGAGCAAGATTGGGAGAAACAAGAGAAAAGGGGTTTGGGAAAATGGAATCATGGAACAGTTACTTGGCAGACTAGAAGGGAGAAGGTAAGTTCAATCACTGTATATTATATATGAAAAATGTGAAGAATCAAAGTAAGAGAATCAATAGTTAAAGGAATTACTACTATACTTTATAATATATACTTCTATATAGCCTTGCACAGACATAACATGCAGATCTACCCTTTCTACAGTATACTAGAGGTATTCCTCTACTACTGCTACTCAAGTTCTAGTAGCTGTAAGTTGAATTCCTAAATCTTTCTGAATGTGATTATTCATTTTATACTAGATTATTTCTGTTGGGTTCAGGTTCAGGGAACTAGTAGGCCACTATAACTTCTGAATGCCTAGCTACTGTCATGGGTGGTCATAATAATGGTAGATATATACTAGAGCATTTTTCTCTATTATTACTACTATATTAGAATAAGTAGCTTGGAAAGAAGATAGATATAAATACAGAATGAGAATTAAGATATGTTCATGATAGATGGACTATACCCTCCTGTCCATCCTTTTTCCTTTCCTTTGTCTGCAGCAGAGATTATTTTTCCTCAATGCCCATATTTCTAAGATTATACCTATTAACCTCTACCTTCTCCTCCACTTACTTATACTAAAACTGTACTAGTATTACATATATAAGAGCATGGACCTCTACCATCACTGAAAAATACAAGGCTAACATCCCTCCTCCAGTCCCAGCATTTGCCTCTAGCATCATAGTAGTATCATTGTTGTAGTTATGTCCTGACAGTATTAGGACATGAAAATAAAACCTACTTCATTACACCATATATGTTGTTTCCCTCTGTCTAATCAGAACTTATTTATTATATATATCAGAGAAGACTTCTAGCCAAGTCTGAAAAGTAGAATTATATCATTCAAATAGGTAACTGTAAAGCTATACTACTAGTAGCCTAAGTAAGGTATACTATTTATAGTATAGGTCAAAAGTAACAGAATGCCTACAACAGAAAGTTATTATAGAATAAGGTGTTGCTATTCAAGTGAAGAGTATGAATACCCAACTACTACTACTAGGAAGAAGTAGTGTTCATAGAAGGCCTACTCATACCTAAAAACATATTGGAAGATCTATACATAAAAGAACTATGGGTTCAATTTATAAGAAACTTAAAGAACCTACTATCACTAACTTGATAGAGCTAAGTTAGTAAACTGATTACTTGAAAGTCCTAATACTCAGAGACACATTTGAGTCATTTTGTATTTAGGAAGAACTTGAACTTGCTCTTAGAAAGTTTGCAAGTTAAGAACATAATCTAAAGCCAGAAGACTATGATGAAGGAATTGTAATCTTCAGACTGGAGAGGAGTTTTGCATCCTAAATAAGAAAGAACTTGATAGACTCCTGAGTTGAGTGAAGCAGTTATTTTCAGGATCAAGGAAGTTTACACATGGTTTGTAGATTTGAAAATTATTAGACAGTACATTATATAGTAGAAGTTAGATATAGTCCTTAACCATCTAGATGTAAAATATAAATATTGAAGTAGTACTTCTCTAGCTTTCAAAACATTATCATTGAATGGGGATGACTTAGAAGTCTAACCAATATATTTGTTATACTTTAATACCTATTCTATCATAAGCTCTTTAGACTATTCTGCAAAGAAAACCCCACTGACCCTAGTTACAACTTGCTTGTTCTTAAAGTTGACTACCACCTAAAAACTAGAGCTTCTCCCTTTGTTTTTGTTTTTGTTTTTTTTTAGATTTGTAAGGAGTCACATAAAGATAATATAGAAACTCTGTTCTTATCTATTATTTAAGTTAGTACTTATCTAAACAAAAGAATTAAGAACTTAAGTTGTTAGATTTTTATAGCCTAGAAGTTAGAAGTTAAAGTAAACAGTTAGCAAGGCATTGCAATTCCCATTGCTGGAGGGGTTGTTGTGATTTTTTCATGAAAACTGATTTAGAGGCTAGTCTTCCAGAACCATAGAACATATTTACTATATAAGACCTAGTAACCAAACCTGATGTCACCAGAGCTAATTACCTTACAACTTGAACGTCTCTATATTTCACAACTTTATGTAATAGTACATTTAGGGTGGAAGAGGAGGTAATACTATCATAAGTTGTGAGCCTGACTGCCATGGACCGTAAGAGAACCTTTCGAACACAACCGCACATTCCGTGAGCGGACTGCTTCCCCACAATTAATTAATTTATCCAACACCGCCACCGCACCGTGCAAGAA